AGGAACCTAATCACACTGCTATATTACGCGACTGGACATAATAGTGTTACTGCGATACATCTTCTCATGGAGAAGAGACGACTCGCAACCCATGCGCAGACTTGATACACTATAATCTCACTCGTATAGGTGTCTGGAAAGCTCGTATAGTGTAGTCTATCGTGAAAATACTTTTCGTTTTGACTGTTCAGCAGAGATACACTCATGGGTATCTAGTGTAGACCAGAGTTGGAAGTGTGGGAAAAGTAGTTGTAAGTTAGAGTGACATTCAGGGTAACATCAGATGCACACACATTGCGCTCGCATGATGTCTTTGCAGGGTTGTATCACGACGTGGGTGCCATGCTACCGAGCCGTGCGCTCCTGAGAGCTGGGTTGATGGCCACTTCGCCATGTGATTACACAAATGAAATTGTTTTGACCAGCCCACCTCTAGTTGCAGCATCAGCTACGCCGAAATAGTTCCTACCGAGAATGACCTATACGAACCCTTGCACGGAGTGACAGTTTTCCTAGTTTCCTAGGGCCTCGAGGCGGGCGGTCCGCGCGCTTCCTGCCCCGCCTGAGGACCACTTCGCTAGGTATGACGAGCAAGTCGATCACTGCAGTTTTGCAGCGGATAAAGTCGTCATTGCACATATGTCGATTTGCGATTATCGATTCGGTTCTGGGACCTGCGTTGACAGCTAATTCAGCGCGGCCAAACTTTGGTGGTAGGGGAGCGAGGCTATCAAAAGTATATTCTCACGCCACCCGTATCTGACTCTCGGCATCCTAGGCTCAAAATGCGGATCGACTTATGGACATGGTTGCAAACAAGTGGCTATCGGTAGAGACATGAGCCCCCGACCAAACAACGCCAATCATGGGCTGCAGATCAGCGGACAAAGGCCCTATTGTGAGAGACTCACGTTTGAGACTACTTCCCTGCCTCGAATAAGGCCAGGATATGGTCGGTGACAAACCTTTGAATGACGCAAATCTACGCGAGAGTGAAAAAACGAAAGAAAGTGAGCGAGCTGGTAAGGCCGCGGTACGAGTTTGTAAGCGAGGTGTAACCGGTCAAAGACTATCTACCTGAGGGTGTTGATGTTAAGGAGACGAGGCTCCGAGGCATTTGTGTAACGTCATGAGGCTGCATATGCACATCATACACATATATAAGTGAATAGACAGCGAAGCACATGTGCAAAAGACGGGGAAGGGACAGGCAGTCAATGGCAAGGCATGGCAAGGCTGGCCCTAAGTATGTACCCCGGGAAGAGAGTGGTTTAGGAGGGCGTCTTCGGTGAAACTGCTCGGGGCAGACGGTATAACGTCGGAGATTTGCCAGGTTACGGGCGATCTCGAGGTTGAAGGATGACGGTTAGAACGTGCTTGCCACGTGTGTATGGAGTAATGTGGTGGAGTCCTATTGGGAGAGCAGGTGGGAGGTACGAGAGGGCCTCAGACTTGTGCCGTGTTGCAGAGATGAGGGGGCTTGGAAAGAAAAGAGCTGTGTGGTCAGGCCTGACTCGAGGCCGTGTTCTGGGCTGTATGTGAAAGGCGCCACTTCGCTTGCAGTTGGGAACCCATGTTCATTGCGCCCGAATCGGAAGGCGACCTACACCATGGCTTGTTTCAGCGCTCGGTGTTGGGCCTGGGGCGGCATGGTGGATAGGAGAACGAGTGCTAGGCTGAGGACAGAGGTCCAGTGTTTTCGGCAGCTCCGCAACCATAATGCACCCACGCGCATGCCATGTGTATGGACATGAGGGGAGGAGCTTGGTAGAGGGCACGTCGGGTGTCTGTCATCAGGCGTGGTGGTGGTGAAACGACCAGAGTACTCGAGGCCCGGCCCAGTCCCACGGAAGAGCACAAGACAGGCATTTCTTTTGCCATTCTAGTGCGCGTGTCGTGGTGGATCCTCGTCCGTCAGCGCTGGCACACAGCCCAGAAGCGGAGATACGAGTTGGTGCCAGGGGCGTTTGCATGTTTGGTTGGCTGGTGGGAAAGCTTGGGTGACAGGCATGCGGCGTGGTTAGCCGTGTTCCGCGTCGGCCCGCATGCTGTGCAACAAATCAGCGCCGTGCATCCTCGCCCTAACCCTTCTTCGCATCCCGAAAGGCCCGCCCAGCGACAGCCCCCCATGTCGCATGGCCAGCAGGGTCAGAGCACCCTGAGTGCGGCCAGATAGGCGTTGAAGGTAAACTCAACGGGCATGGTGCATGACACTGCCCTGGCCCGGACCATGGCACTGGAAGCCGCCTTATTTGGCTTTATCTGCGTCAAGCCGCTCGCGCAGTGGGGGGCCTATAACTATACCCCCGGTTCCAGCTGCAACTGAACCCCTTCGCGACGATTCTGCTGAAAACCGCTCGTTATGCTGTGAGGACAGAAGCTGCCTTGTAGTCATCATGGCGGGCTCAATCACGGACAATCGCTTTGACATCATCAATGGAAAGCAACTGGCTTTGCTTATTGCACCTCTCCTCTGCTTTGTCGTAGCTTCGGTCGCTGTCGCCGCGAGATGGTACACCAGGAGCGTGAGAAGAATCAACACCCTGACCGAGGATGTCCTCATGCTGGCTGCTCTGGTAAGGCTGAATGCTTGCTTGGTTGATGTTGAATCAGGCTGACATTCCAAAGGCTATGAGCTTCGTCGTAGTTACCATAGTTTACGTTTTGGTTTTTCTAGGTGGCGAGGGCTTGACAAGTGATCAGATCAAGGCGGATCCGACAAAGGATTTCGACGTCGTAAATCGGTTCTGGCTACGAGTACGTCTGAAGCCAGTCATTACAATCAACTCATCGCTAACTCACATTCAAGTTGCAATTCGCACTCGACATATGCTGGGCCACATCCATTGCCACTGTTCAAATCGCTTTCGCCAAGGCCTATCTCCGCCTGTATGAGAGAAAACGTATCGCTCAGACCGCTTGCTGGTGTTCCATAGGGCTGATCTCCATCTGGTACATCTGGTCGCTCGCCGGCTGGATCAGCATGTGCCACCCACCTGGAAAGTGTGAGCTGCAGAGCAAAAAATCATGTATTATCATCGGATCGCTACACGTCTTCTTCAACAGCATCATCCTATTTGCCCCAGTGCCCGCAATTTTAGCAGCCGAGCTATCGGCCAAGAAGAGGTGGTCTGTAATGATTTTGTTTCTTCTGGGATGCTTGTAAGTCAAAGCGTTCAACAGTCCAGTGCAGGAGTTACTAACAGTGTACAGCTGCACAATCCTCGCCGTCCTGCGCATCGATTGCGCAATCAACGTATTCGGCGACGTGAACGAAGATCCCATTGGTGCGTCTTGGTGGCGTGTCTGCTTCTCGCCTATTGAAGTTGCTGTCGGAATTGTCTGTTGCTGTGTTCCTAATGTTCGTTCGTTGCCATCCTGGCGTAGGGCTTCTCCAATCACGTCCAACGAAAGTCACGGTCTCCGCCGACTCAAGTTCCGGACGACGAGTAGTGGTTCTTCTACGTCGAATTTGAATGAGCCTTCGCAATGGATGCCGCACGCCTCGAAACCACAAGCCGCTGCATTCGTCACTCTGAACAGCGACTCGGATACCCTTGAGCGGACCGGATCTCTAGGCGCGAACGAGATTAAAATCACCAAAGAGTACAATCTCGATCGGCTGTGATTTTAGAGTGAAATTATATCAAGATTTTAAAAACCCGAGCCTGATTTCCTTCGGTGTTGAGAAAAAAAATAGATGTTTGTGGAGCACGTTGCTACTGGATGCAGAATGCCAATCTAATTATCCGCAAGTGCCAACAACAGCAACGGCAGCTGCGGTCGGGTCTACCCGTTACCAACGCGTAGGGATGACGTCACTGCCATACTTAACTTCCAACCATCACTCTTGATCAACACCTCTTCACACCACTACCCACCGAACCTGAGAAGCACACAGCATGGCACCCAGACCGAACGCTCGCATCACCACCCTCCTCCGTTACACATACCAAGCCAACATGGTCTTTTTCGCCGGATTTGCAACGTGGTATTTCTTAAGGAGTCTGGACCAGAAAGTGTCAGAAGATCCACGCCGACAGAGCAGCGCGGATAACCCAAGAACGAAGTCGTAATCCTGAAGGAGCAGATGGTATGCAAGGACGCTCGGAAGAAAGATGGATTTGCATGACAGTGATATAGAAGAGAAGGGTGTCAAGCCAACCCCTGCTGTGCTGGGGGTGACGAAAGAAGAAATCAAGGAGCAATCCTTAGGCTCGGGAACGATGTATTTTACGCGAGACTAGACACTAAACGGCAACGACATACATTATTCCCCACCAACAGTCGCGATCGACGGGCCTAGAAGTTGGGACATACCAGCATGTAGTTTCTGTGCTTTCGCTTGTTCATTCAAGCATGCACCCGCCGATATCAGCCATTGATCGGCATAAAATAAATTCTAATACAATGTTTGACCCAGCATGCATTACTGATGTTGCTCCTCCACATTAGGTATCTGCCAAGCGCCTTCGGTTGTCACGTGTTTAACCGTTTCCAGTGCTACCCAAGCGCCCCCCCCCCTTCCCAGACATCTACAATACGAATGCACTCATATTGACGCACTGCTCCTCATTATCAGAAACCGGAAGTATTTGTACCTTTTGGTGCCCCCAAGAAAGAGCGTGTTACCCACTTCCAGTCGCTATATGAGGCCATTTGCGCAACTTTACAATCCACATCCTTCGCGTTACTGGATTATCGAGCCTACCAGAAGCAAGCACGCTAAGCCATACTTGTAATATGCATGCTTCCTACACACCTCAACAGCAGCATTGTGTGAGAGAGTTTAGGCTTACACTTCGTTGTCATTGGTACATCTCTTTTTTACCCACATACTCTCTCATGCATCTCCGCTTCCTTCCCCATGGGCTACGTGTAGCACCATCACACCATGCAGTTATTCTTATCCAAGCAGCTTAAGAGCACTTTGCTTACATCATGGCATCGATCTACCCATAGTGATTCTCTGCCCAATTCCATCATACTCCATCGTCGTCATGCTCCGTACACCGCCCCTACTCTTCCTTTCCGCCATGCTCGTAGACCTCATCTTAGCCATCACACTCATCTCGCTCTTCGCCTCCGCATACCCCGATCGATTCCGTACCGCCCTCTGGCGAAACGGTGGCTCCGAAGGCTGGAATTCTGATCCCCAGCAACGTGTGTACGACTATGCAAACTACCGCGAGTCGCCTCCCATGCCCTTGATTTGGGATCAAAGGTACGTCCGAGGTCACTGGCCTCATATACAGTATGTGTATCTACTGGAAGCTGATATAGCGAGTAGTTCCACAATGTTCCACCTGGTGATCGCCGTCATAGCGCTCTTTGTATGGATCGTGCGCTTCCAAGTCAATTGCCTTAGTGGATACGTACTCGACCTTCATGCGAGTATCATGACGAACGCAATATACGATATACTTCTGGTCGGCCTCTATGCATCTAGCGCGGTACTTCAGAACTCGGGTGACTTTTCGGATCCTGGACATATCGGTTTGAGGCCTTGGTATCTGGAGCGGGGGTGTAAGGACGCGTGGGAGCGGACACGGGGTGGGTGTGAAGTTATGAGGGTGTCATATGGCGTGACGGTGTTTGCTGTGTAAGTCATGTAAAGGGTCTTTTGTTATTTCAAGGGCTTATCCCAAGAGGTCCTGGCTGATGTGATGTTCGTTTAGGATATGGTGCTGCCTCCGCTTCATGACGACATGTTTGTATCTTGCATACATACTTGGCAGAGAGCATGAGATTCAAGATGTGTTGCCCGATTACGATGAATTTTCCGAATGCAAAAACATGGGTCACATATCTTGAACGCATACTTCCATATGCATAACGAGTGGGATATGGGTACTCTATAATGACACCAGCATGATATTCACAATGGGAATCAATCAAACCAGACCTTCTCAGACTCTGGATTATGCTTTACTGGCTACTAGGAGAGCTCAAATTTGCTTGAATCATTGCCTTTTTTGGCCAACTTTCGATCGAGATTCCTATCGGAATGGTTCTCTCTAACAACAGCACGAATACCACGTGACTGAACAGTACAAAGCCGGTCGACACGTCATCATCCACATCCTTTTATGCAGCGTCTCATGCCTCGATAGAATAGCTATCTTAAGCGTCTCATGATTCAATAAGTCATCAATTGAAAGGACCAAAAGAGTGGTTGTTTCCAGTTCACTGATATACCAATGCTCCTACCGACACTGTGAACAAGACTTCACTGAGCTCAAGTCCTTCGATGAGTGGAAATATAGGATTCAGATTAGTAGCAAATATGTCTTTTACAACGGCTCTCTTTAGAGAAACACATTCATACTTAACGCCACCATCTCTGCACTTGGCAAATTACTTTCTTAGTTGCTTCGGTACATGACCATAGTAAACTCTAAGGGTGAGCGATTGGCACTAGACCAAAGTGTATCGAGTAGTCTTCCATCTTTCATATACCAATCCTTGGTATAAAAGCGGTGAGTGTACCTTTTGATTTCACACTGACTACACTGCTGAGCAAAAGTGAAATACGCCCGCGGCAAAGTTCTTCGCTTTATAGTCGAGATCCTAAGAGCAAAGAGCTACGAAAGCTGGATGATGTGTTTCTGATTGATCATGGCCTTCACTCAACCATATTCTGGATACTCTTCACAAAACAACTCAGATGAGATCCACTAATCACCAATTCCAAGTATGATATCAGAGATTGCGAAGAAGATCCTGCAGTCTGTACCATCACCTCCAACATTTGGATCCTCAACGCCCTCAGCGAGGGGAGAGAGCAATACGAGGTATTGTTGCTTAATCGCCCTTTAGTAGGCTAAAATCATATCAAAGATTATCAATGCTCACACTGCCATGTCTTTCGAAAGCGAAGGATGCAGGCTCACTATTGATGAAGTTTGGATAGCAACCTTCCAGTCAACCAAAGGATTCGGGCGGGGCGATCTTTTTGCTTTCCATGGAAGGGGGAGCTTAATGTACGAGGAGAGGGTTTTGGAGAAGACTAGCGGTAGCTTACCAAGAGAGTTTGTCAGCTTGTTCTTGCATAACGAGTATAACTCATTCTTATATGCTAACGTAGCTAAACTTGATGGAGCTTGATGCCTTTGCCGGTCACTCTACTTCTTCACTCAAGATTTTGTGGTCTCTAATCGTTTAATCTTGACTGTCTTTCGGCCGTCGGAGATAGATATACTCTTGGTCTTGTATCAAGAGAAGAAGCTTGTTGTCATTGAGAGGCTAGAGAGCGGCATGTCGGAAACTCCTGATCATTTCGGCGCTGAGCCTGAGTATCTCAAATTCCGGCTTGAGAAATTGCCCAAGACACTCGATATGCCGCGATGGAGCTGTCAGCAACACCCAGTCTTGTCAGTTCTTAATACTCCCGGTTTTATCAACACTGCAGACACCTCCGATAGTGCACAATGTCATTGATTCTACAGCCTAGGCTAACGAAGTCATCTCCGGGATGACTTTCTTCTATTACACCTTTCCGCATGTGAAATATGACTCAGCCATGAAGCCACCATGCACACACAGATTTACTCCGAGTTACTAAGGTCATTATTTAATACACATCTTATGTGGACGTGATAAGATGAGACTGGAAAACACTAAGACAGCGCACGGTAACAACGAGGAGCAGTGCATCACGTAAATAGTCCCGCACCACCTATGAACGCGGCGGTCTCTTCTCCGAGTACACAAATGACGTGTATTAGTTCAGAAGTTAGTACGGAAAGATATTAAGAGCCTACGCGGCAGACCGGACATCCGTGAGCGCGGAACTGCTCATCTCCGTTATTGAATGAACCAGGCTGCACACGTGTACAACATCCAGCTCTTGACGAGGCACGCATCTTCTCTAGGCTACACGACCGATTAAAGGCGGCAAACTCCAGACAAAGCCACGGAAGACCGTGAAAGGAAGGCCGCACCAAGGCCGAGAATCTTCGCGCGTCCTGACAAGGGACCGCTGCATGCGTATGACCAGAGCAAATGAACATGTTACGCGGTCGAGACATAGCACATGGCGTACAAATCGCCGATCGCGCGACACGATGCAAGACAGAATGTACGCCGGACGAACGAAAAGAAAAACGGTCAAAAGAAGAAATACGCCCTTGGTGTTCCAGCGAGGCGTTTGCGCGTAAGTACGTAGCGTACGTTTCAATTCCATCGTGCCACACTAGGCATCTAGTACCACGCTGAAACAAAACGGGAAAACAAAGAATATCCGTAAGCAGCCCAACAGCTAAAATAGACTTACCATGATCGAGATGAACCATACTTGGAAACAATAGCAGAAAAAAAGTATATCTCGATACTCGATATGAGACCAGATACAGTGAGAGAGAAGGGGGGAAAGCATATGCCTAGCCACACAAAACTGTAATAATTCGAGGCCTCCCCAAAAAAGCAGCCACCGCACCAACACCAAAAAATGACAACGCCAAAACACCCCCTTCCCCAACCAATCCAACCCCCAGCTAACCCAAAAAACCAAAAACCCAAAAACCCAAAAGAACCACTCGCAGCCAATTTCCGCCCCACAAACTCTCACCACCAAAGAAACCCACCTATCACCTTTCTAACTTTATTGACTCTTGCGTAAGCCATGACGCCGCCGTTCAGCTAACCCGCATCACCACAATTAACCAGGGGGTATGTGCGTGAGCCTGACCCGAAGACGAAGACCCCTCCAAAACTTCGCCTCAACCTCCCTCTCCATCTCGGTCCTTCTAAGGCATTATTTGCAAAACGAAATACAGACAGACAGAGAGCGCGAAATACATATACTTTAGGTCTTACTATTATCTTTGGGCGTTGAACGCGTTGTGTGTGTGTGTGTGTGTGTGTGTGTGGCTGTGCCCCCCCCTCCCCACCTCCACACCCCCCTTCTTCTTTCCCAGATCGCGCTCTCCAACTAAAGTAAAAAGAAGGGGAACCTGGGGGAGTTGGAAAACTCCAAAGAATGAACATGGCAAAAAGGGGACATGGGTGTGCGCTATCATATGTAATGCATATAGGTGTGTTGCTTCGAATCAAGTTATTTTATTTGGGAGAGAGGGGGGCAAGGAAACGATTAAATGATGACTGATTGCTTGGTAAGAAGGTGAGATTGGTAAAGTAATGCCGCTCCGGGGGGGGGGGGGAAGGGGTTGCATGGGCAAAAAAAAGGGCTGAGAAAAGGGTGGCGCAAAAGAAGATGAGGGAGAGAAATGGGGTTGGGGGAGACTCGTTTCGGAATACGTCGTACCGGGATAAAAGTATGAGAGCGGGTGGGCGGGCCTCCACATACCGAGTTGGAAATAGTAAAAAGTGTTTTAATTTGGGACGAGGACTTGGTGACCCCACGTTCCTCTTTCGTGCAATGTCTCACGTGATAAATGTGGTGCTTGTCTGCCTGGTTTGTGGGGCCTAGAAGAATGGTGTACAAGACATACGTATGTGTAGATACTGTGTATGCAGTAACACAGCAAGGGCTATTTTTGGGCTCAGATAATAAAAAATTCAAGAAATCTTTCTATATGGTATCTGCCCCTAGTCTGAAATTTAACCCCTAGAGTTTACCCAAGTCCCCGCATCTAGATTCCCGAAACAAGTACCACACGTTCATTACATCAATCGCATTGCGTAAGAGAGAAAATGACAAAGGGAAATAGGAGAAAATGGGGGTGAATGTGTGAGTATGTGAGTGAGTGAAGAGATGAGAGAAAAGTAAGGGGGTATTAAGTGAAGTATTGAGCTATGTGCTGTGTGAAAGCAACTGGCAAGCTTTCTAAAAAAGGTAAAAAAGAGAACCGCTGCTACGTAAAGTAATAGATAGACCAAAGAAAACGAGAAACTGGGGTTGAAAAAAAATGTTAAAAAAAATTCCAAAAAGACGCTGCATAAATGGGTATATTCCTCTTCTCCTTCCTTCACTGTCCTCTGACCCCATCAGAATCCTATCCTGCTAGGCGAATGAATAAAAAAGGAGACGTGCGTGTGACTGTTGTGTACGTAAGGAGAAAAGGCTGCAGAGATGCAGGGTCAGGGGTTGGTGCCGTTGAGGTGACGTGTAGCTCGCTTCAATGGTATCGGAGCGAGGTTCGGAGTCACCTTGTTTGCGGTGATGTATGTGTTTTTTTGTAAGGTTTTTGTTGTTTAAAGGAGGGTGGGTGTGCCAATGCCGGACCAGCCGGTCTGACAAGTTTGATGAGATATGTCTTGGAATATTGATTATTGGATGGTTTCCAAGGTTTAACCCCAGTTTAGCTCGTCGCCCCATGTACCGCCCATTTCACGGTGAGATGCTAGGCTATGTTGCGAAATGTTGCTGGGACGCCGCCTCATGATTAGCCGTGAGAATCGATTTTGGTGCTCATCTTTCGGCGGGGGTGGAGGTGGCTGGTCCATCTGGATACCGCGGTGGCTCGAGTTGTTCGATATGTTGATCAACCTTGGGACGTAACGGCGCGACGTTGGCGTACTAGGGGCTTGCGACTGTTGCTGCTGCTGTTGAAGAAAGTTTGGCGGAAGGCTTTGCCGTGGGTAGTGCGCAAAGTTGGCGTACTGAGAAGTCGGTACAGAAACGATTTCCTTGGCCTGTTGAAAGTCCATGTACGACGTTTGTTGTTGGTAATTGAGGAGGTCAGGTGTCGATGAAAAGCCTGCATTTGGCCAGCCTTGTGATTGTGGCTGGAAATTTTGGGCCATTGGTTGAGAAAAGTCTGTCGACATCGATGTCATGCTGGTGTCGAATGCGTTGAACCCATCCATGCCGGTCGCAGCGCTCATACCGCCGTGAGACATATCGGTGCTAACAGGCCATTGTGACTGCGCCATCTCTTGCTGCTGCATCGTCTGCGGAGGCTCTACTGGATCAATGTCCATCATCATCTGCTCCTGCGGAAGGCCGTGTGAGCTGTGGAGCCTGTTATCGGTTCCAAAGTCAGGCGCCAAGTCAGAAGCCTCCAGTTTGAATTCCACCATTTCGCCCTGACTAGCATCATTCGATTCGGAAACGTCAGGAGTGGCTTCGCTTGCTGATTCAACGTCTTTGGCCTCGATCTCCGCCAAGTCGAAGGTGTCCTGCACCAACTTCTCAATGTCGAAAACGCGCGTGTCCCATTTCGTTTCGAGCTTGTATCGTAAACGGTTGCACTTCTTCGACTCCCATGCCAACGACGGCCAGTTCTGTTCTTCTCCATACCGTTCCGTCATCATCTGGTTCCAGGCGCTGGACACCTCTGGTTGCTTCAGCAGACCGAGAACAACATTAGTAAAGCTCCATTTTGACGATCCCTTCTCTTCGAAATGGAGTGCGATATGCTCGCAGCGCTCTTCCCAGGTAGTCAGGAGAGAGGCACAGAAGCCACATCCCCAAGCGTCCTTGTCATGCATGACAATTTCGTACTTCTTCACACATGGAGATGCTTTCCTACTCGTTGGCTGGCCACTCTCCCTTGGTTGCTTGCAATGCTCACAGCCCTGTTTTGAATATTAGTCATAGGTCACGGACACGGTTACTCAGTTGACGTACATGAAGCTTGGTATGGTGCTCGCGGAAACGCTTTCCAGCGTGGAAGATTTGCTCACAGTCTGGACATCTCCAAGTAAGTCTTTGCTCGTGGAACTCCTCCTCGTGCGATTTCCAGTACGGCTTCGATTTGAGCGCCTTGTCGCAGAACGTGCACGCGAAGTTCTTGGGTGCAGGTGTTGACGTAGTAGAGATTGTGGAAAGACGAGAAGACGCGGTCGACATGCGCGACGAAGCAGCGCTGTAGTGCGTGTACGACGAGTCGGTCGATGCGATTGACGAACGCGGATCCGAAAGCATGCTGGGGACTCTGCTCGACGGTACGCTCAGATAAGACGACGCACGGCTTCCAACGGTCGACATTGACGACCTGTCGGCGCCTGAGCGACGCATGCCATCTAGAGTCGCGTAAGTAAAAGGCAGGGCATCATAGATGCAACCCGACTGACCTCCATTGCGCGCAACGGACAATAACTGCAGAATCTGTTGGTCGTCGAGGTGTTTGAGCGCATTGATATGATCAAAGAGCTGGGGCGCGAACTGGCTCTGTCCCGAGTGACGGGGCGATGAGGTGACGCTTTCGGTGACGCTGGTCAAAGGCGTGGAGCCTTGCAGGCTGCGTCGCGGTCGTTTGAACGAGTTACTCTGCTGAGGAGTGCTGAACTGGTATAGTTGAGACTCGTCGGCCTCCATGTTATCCAAGTATGCGCGCAGAAGCCTGTATCATGCCGGAGATTTGGGGTTCACGGGCCGTGTTGGGCGGGCAGAGCAGTGTTGTCGCTATGTAAAGGGAGGCGAGTGCGCGCGAAATGGAAGCGTTCGAGAAGCTTTTGACGATATACGAATGGGTATAAGCTCGGATCTTAGGCCGTCAGGAAGACATTGATCGTCCAATTTCCCGGGCGGAGACGGACGGCTCTTGTTTAGAAGAGCAAGATCCGTGGCCTGTTTCATGGGTTTCAAGAGGGCACTAGGAGACTGCCTTGGCACATGCAGGCACATAATTCCATGGCTGCTGCAACGCCCGCTCGTGATCGACGCTTGCCGCTGCGGCATACAGGCACACTCTTGGTCCGGGCGACTTTTTTTCTTTGAGGCTGCGGGAGCCGCCCTGGTGGGCATAGCAGTACAGTGTTCACACGCAGCAGCGTTGCAGCAGCAGCAGCGTCGGGAGGCGACGCGTCAACCGCCTGATGGTCCTAAAGGGAGATCGTCGCGGCGGCGCTGCAGGGACCCCAGCGCTTCCAGCCTAGGGCAGCGTGCTCAGGGGTAATTTAGCACGCAACGTGAAACGCGCATCTGCTCGCCATCTGGGAGCTGTTGTACCGTCCAACCCTGCTCGATGCCTCTCCAACGCCTAAAGAGCGTCTGGAGCCGTCGCTTGCATCAGGCATGATGCAAACCCAACTGACCCCACCATCACCGATCCATCGTGCCGTAGCAAAAGTGCATACTCGGACATTGATCCGAGGGCGTCTCAGGATGTGTGTATGCAAAAAAGGTGGCTCTTATGGCAGTGCTGCGTAGGAGGCTGGGTTGGATGCTGCTCAGGAGACGGAGAGGGAGACGTAGACAATGGTTTGCGTCGGCAGAACAAATACGGCACACCTGGTGCCTTGTAACAGTATCACCCGAGGGCATCGACGCAGACGCAAGACGGACAGTAATGGGCAACGGGTGCTTTCTAGGCCCCACGGGTGCAGAACTGGCGGTGGTTTAGGTTCGCCGGGTGGAACTGATGATCACGTGTTGCATATGTAGGTGTGTATGGGGCGCAGGCTCCCTTTGCCAGCAGCGGACCTGTCGTCATCCTGCCAGAGGCGAGATAAGGCAAGGACTCGTGCAGATCCCGCATAACGTCGAATGATCGCTCGTGTCCGTCAGGGAGACCTTTTTGCAATCAAGCATTCCTTGCAGGATCTGCCTAACTAGCAACCATCTTTCTGGGGTACTGCTGCCGGTGAGGGCAAGCTGTCCTATTTTTGGCCCACGGCAATGGTCCGCTCACAACAGGCAAGACGTCTGTAAAACAACGACTACGGGTTGCTTGGACCATCGGCCTGCATGAGTCGAAACATGCGTGGTGTAAAGAGGGCTTTGACGGCCGCTCTATAGTGTAGTGTGTAAAAGTAAGCCGGAGATGCAGAAGTCATGCGGCACAGCATCCAGCAGTACATGCGCGGCGTGTGCCTCGACGCCCTCTTGCCGGGGAAGTGTCAGAGTTTATGCGAGGGAATTGCTGCTCAAGCCCGCATGTCACCTACAGCATCAAGCTGTCAATTGCGAGAGATTCGCAGAGTCGGAGCAAAGCTCGAGCGGGCCGGCGTATACTGTGTACTTGCTTAGTACAGTATACAGTGGCGTAGGCGTGAAGAGGCGTCATGTTTCACGGAAAATCCCAGTGCTGGCATCGGCCGGTGATCGATCTCGGACGGGCAGCGGAGTGGAAGGGAGGCAATTAGAGAGATTGATTGCATGGAAGTATGCATTCATGCTGCCGGCGGACGACGGCGTGCTCGGTGGCTGAGTCTATCTGAAAGCGGCGCCCCGCTCCGGATAGGAGCGAAAGCTGAGGCTAGGCTGAGGCGACATTGAGGACGATGGATGTCATCCGATGCCTTAACACGAAGTGGACCAGCGATCGAAATTTTGGGTAAATGGATAAAACACAAAAGTCGACGCGTGAGAGGCTAGGCAACGGATCGAGTGGCCCGGTGTGCGCGGAGCTTGCCAAACCACCACCATAACAAAGCCTGATATGCTGACACCAAACATGCAATGGTAGGTGGACATGTGTCATGAGCGAATGGTGGGTGGTGGTGTTGATGGTGTTGAGCGAATAGGAGAGCCTGTGGCGTATTATTACATGGAGTAGCAGACCCGAACACAGGTTTGAGTGACAAACACGGTTGCGTGTCTGTTGGAGTAGCCTCCAACCGAGTGAGACTAGAAAAGAAAGACGGTTGGCCTAATCGAGTATGTGTTGACATGGTATGTGTGCTTTGATCATGCAAATGGCTCCCTACTGCGATGCAACGACTCGTACAATCGATGGCGTCAAGCACAATGGCCGTGGTGGAGGTAGTGCTGGATCGAAAATGGCCCAATTGGTATAGCGCCATTTTGGAGCCACATGCGGTTAGACAATCCAACTCGTCGCGTCGCGTCACGTCACGTCGCGTACGTATCGTGACTTTGGGAAATCACGCTCGCAGTCCAAGCGTGTATGCGGCTGCAATTGACCATACCACACTCGGGCACACAATTCATCGCTGTTCGTTTCTGATACTTACGAAGAGGCCAAGACGCTTTTGCATCAACTCTCTGGCCTTGGGCTTTCTCGCCAACAGTCTGTCCGGCCCTCCACACGCCTTGCAACTCCATCCGATATCAACTTCACACCGTCGTGCCCCGCATTTCATGACGCCGACTTAGTCAGACAACAACCACCTGCCAGCATCGAAGCAATATAACAGTCCTCAGAGATAGCAGCGCTCATGTCACACTCACCAGCACGCGTGCCGGACGCGTCCGCAAAGCCCCGAACGAAGCTCCTCGCAGCACTACGGAAACCCACAGCCGAGTCTTCAGAAAGCGAGGCTGAGTCTGATAATGGCAGCTCAGCATCTGAAGACGAGTCACACGCTCCCATTGCCCTGTCAAAACCCCTCGCAATGCCAATACGCCCACAGTTGAACACAGATATAGCCAATGATGTAGAGGAGAGCGACGGAGAAGATGCATACGAACTTATGAAGAAACGATTGGCTGCCAGCAAGACTTCAGCGGTAGCTGAACCAGCTCTACAACCAGCAGAGGGAGGCGCACATGTCGTTGCTACCGTTGAAAGTAGCAATGACGAAGACGAAATGCCTGTGCGCGCCAACGTTCGCAAGTCGTTTACGAAAAGAACAAAAACCGTGAGCCCTCGTGCTTCGCCATCGCCAAACCTACGATCACGGACAGCATCACCGGGTCTGTTTGTCACCCCAGATCCCTCGCCAATCAAAAACAAGTCTAGGGCAGTAATAGACGCCGGCACCGATTCGGAATCATCACAGCCCGCACATAATGCAGATCTGCAAGAGCGAGTACGACGTATCCGTGAGGAGAGACTGGCAAAACAACAAGAGCAGGAGGCACAGCAAAAAAGGTCCAACAAGACCACGCGGCGCCGGGGCGAAGAGGGCTCTGGAAGCGACACAGATGACGAGAGCGGCAGACGGCTTACCCAACAAGCCAAGCCAACTCGAAAAGCTGGCAAGAAAGCCATGGAGGCAATGGCCCGGGACCAGCAGCGCATCAGTCGCAACATGCAGCTTACGCATCAGGCAAAGACAAAAAAACGCTTCACAACTCAGGATCTTTTCAAAAAGTTCAACTTCCAAGCACCAAATACCGATGCCGCAGCACTTCCAACACCTGAACCAAGCTCGGCATTGACTTCTTCCGACGCAGAGGTGAACCAAGTGCATGATGCCCAGCCGAAAAGCCCATCAAGACAAGAACACGACGTAGAAATGCACGCCGTGCCGAGCGATGAGAAGACGATTGATATGGCGTCAGAGACACAGAACGGCATTCACTCTCCACATCCCGCCAAGCTCGACAAGGGCAAAGGAAGAGCACCAGAGTTCCAACATCTTCCAGAGCATCCTTGGATGAAACAAAAAGAGACGTCGATGCAGCAAAATACTGTAACAGATACAAAGACTGCTCGGGATGACGATATGGTGGAGCTCTCAGACTCAGACGGTGATGTGTCTGTGAAACAGCCAAAAAGCAGATTCCCCGTCTTCGATCGATTGCCCGTCAAGAAAAAGGACGAAGGTGGTTCCCTCGTACACCTGCGTGCTCTTGCCCAATTGGCAAAATCCCCTCCAAAGGTCAAGAAAGGTCAAAAGTCTGTCACTCGTGGCGAGATGGAGCTTTTGTTGGCTCAAAAGGCCCGTGAACAGACTGCCAAAGCTCGAGAGGAGAGAATCGCCGACCTCATCAAACGAGGCCACAACCCCGAAACCGAAGAGGAGAGAGAAAAGCGCCAAGAGGAAATCGACGACATGGTGGCCATGCTCGAAAAGCAAAGACAGGAAGACCTCAAGCTCGCCAAGAGAGAAAAGAACGAGGCCAAGCAAAATGGTGAAACGTTAGATGAACTTCCATCTAGCGACGAGGAAGACGGCGATTATATTGGAAGTGGAGAGGAAAACGCAGGCAACGATGATGATGACGATGAGAACCAAGAAGAAGCTGAAATCGAGCTTTCTGGGTCCGAAGACGAAGAAACCGAAACTCTTGATGGTGCTGAGAGCGGTCAAACAGAAAACACTGACGGGCCTGTTGAGAAAATGGCTGATGAGCATGAAGAGCCAGGAGAGACGGACCAAACACCTCATGATGACGAAGATGTGCACATGGAAGACGATGACGTAAACGTACCTCTTCGAAGGCGAACGGTCAACAGAGCCCGCAATCGAGTCATCGAAGATGAAGATGAAAGCGACACCGAAACCGTCAAAAATGCCTCTCCAACCCAAGCAGCGACTCAAGACGACGCAATGGCCGCCTTCGGTTTCGGGAAAGCCAACGCTGATGTAGGCCTCACGCAAATGTTCGCGGGCACAATGGCCGAGCTTGAATCGGAGTCTCGGTCTGCACCTGTTGTTGACACCGAGCAAGATTCTCTCGAGTTCTTGCGAAACCTGCCCGAAACTCAGCCTGTTGTGCCTTTTAGCCAGGCATCAGACTTCATGGTTCCCAACAGCCAATCCATAGTGTCGCCACAAAAGACGTCACGAACTAGCCCCGAGTCCAACTTGAACTTGGGTATTAGCCAAGTGGTCAAGACTTCACCTACCTTCTCGCAGACACAACCAGATGATTTTGAGCCAACCCAGGACGCCGGCTTTTCCTTCTCGCGTTCGCCAGCAGGTCTCGCCCCGCCCCCATCCACAGTTGACACTGTCATGATGGCTGTTGCCGAGTCTCCAATCAAGCAAAGAAAGGGCAAACTTCAACGCGGAAGACGGGAGATGACTGTAGAATTTTCTGACGTAGAGGAAGACTTGGAAGATCATGATGAAGAGGAAGAAAGTGAAGATGACATTCAGCGGCCACCTAAGCCTAGCAAGGATGCCTTCAGAAAGATGCAGCAGGCGGCCAAGAAGGCAAAGGCGGTAGAAGAATTCGACAAAAAGAACAGCATGGCAAGGGAAGCTGTTATGGAGCAGGCCGAGGAGTCTGAGGATGAATATGCTGGTCTTGGAGGTGCCAGTGACGACGAAGAGGGAGAGGAGGATGAAGAGCTGAAGGCCATGATTGACCACAACGATGTCAAGGTCGACGAACGCCAAATCGCCGCCTTCTATGCGTAAGTACAACTACGTGTCTCATAGTTCATAAAGTCAAGTACTAACACATCGCAGCGACAAGACAAAGAAAGATGATGAGAAGCAGCTTGCCGAGCTTTACAAGAAAATGCAAAGCAAAGGTGGTCTACGTAGGCATGCAGGTGGCTACGATGGCTTCGACATGTCCGATTCTGAAGACGAAGCCGAAATGCGCCAGCGCAAAAAGCGTGCAGCGTTCCAAAAGCAGACCAACGCCTTGTTGCAGGATCAAAAGGTCAAGGCCCTCGCTGACGACGACAAAAAGAAGGCCTTCTTCAACACACTGGCCGACTTTGCTGACGACGGTGAATACGACTACCTCAATATGCCTGAGAAGGAGATGGATGTGGATTCTCCACAGTCTCAGTCCCAACAACAAACCCAAGACGATGACATTGCCATACCAGACTCGCAGAGCCTCTCTACGTCAGAAAACAGCCTGTTGAAACGCAAGTCTGAGAGCTCACAGAAGGAAAACCGTCCACCTCCACACATGCGCCGCACGGCTGCGTCTGACGCACTAAGTCGCAAACCTCTTACAGCTGACGACGTCAAGCACTCTATTTCAGAGCTCATCGAAGACCCACGCGTTGTGATCCCAGACTCACAATTATCAGATGCCGAGGAAGACAAGGAGCAGATACACGCCAGCAAGCAGTTTCCTCAGCGAAAGCCAATCATTGACCGCCTGACTTTGAGTCGGCAATCCACAGTCGAAGAATCTACTGCAACTGCAGAGTCAAACATGGCCTTCCACAACTCGACGCGTGTGGCTACTGCACCAGGCTTCCGCGTGCCCTCACTTATTCGCCAGGCTACCAGTAATCTATCCATCAGCAGTGAGCGCTCTAGTGGCAGTGGTGCTTCTGCCTCAGCCCCCAAGGAAGCGGGTGTTAGAAGAGGCGGTACTGGACGCAGCAATATCCATGCGCAAGCAAGAGAAGCAGAGCGCAGGCAGTTGTTGGAGAAGAAGGAAGGAAAGAGGAAGGAGGCGCTTAGGAAGAAGGTTGAAGGTGGGAGGAAGAAGGGCATGAGGAGTGTATTGAGTGATCTCGGGGGTGGGTTTGAGTAATTTTTCTGACGTTTGCATAATGAGGACGGTGTGGTTGGCATTTGTATCTTACTGGGTTTGGCGTTGTCGTAAGCGTCATGAATCAATGCATCGACGAGCATTTGGACAGCATTTCTTGGTTGGGGATTTAGGGTAGTGTTTGACTTATGGTGTGCGAAATGTCATCATAGTATCATGGGTACTTAATTACATTCATCTCGAAATACGATCTTTTTTGGATGATGCGATGTCTTTCGAATGATCTGCCTGGTGGCTGAACTGGACTTTTGCTTTATCTTTGGAATATTAACCCCGCAGTGCGCGTATAATTCTTCACAATCCGATAGTGAAAGTCATGATTAGTGGGGACATTCTGTGTTAACCTATCAAAGTATCATCTACACAAGATCCAATCGTTTAGAAAGCGATGCAGTGCTGAAAACAAGATGGTATACTGATAGAGCGCACTACGGATTATGAATTATATAGATATAGCAGAACTATGCAAGTGAAGCTACCGCGAGACGCAACGCGATTTCCTATGCTTGTGTGTAATTTCAGATGAGAAAATTCACTATGTTATTTACGTTACTGTATATGTGCGCGATTGTTTTGCAGCTTGCCATGTGCAACAACCATGAATAAAAGCCATAAATCAGAATTTACCTCAGTAACCGTGAAGCCCATATCGAATACAAAAACCATTGACAAAACTATTCCCCATCAGTAATGACAGCGATAAAAAGATGTAAACATAGTCGTGTGTTGCAGTCACTTGGTCTCCCAGTAACAATCTTCAAACGCATTACCCTCACTCTCACTCTCACTGCCCTATATTTTCCATTTCACAAATCCTACAACAACAAAAAACCTTCCAAAAACCCTCTACTCAACTCAACTCCACCGCAACAAGATCCATCTCCACAGAACAAGACCATGCCTCTCTTTTCAGGCAAAGAAGCCTTCGTCATGCTCGGTCTCTCACCAATCCAACCCTCGCTCCACCATCACTCCCAAAACTGCACCATCTGCACTCTCCCTCTCACCATGCACCCGGGCCTCATCTCAGAGCCGCCATCCACAGCTTCAGAAGCAACATCCAATGTAGGTAAACTACCAGCCCCCCCGTGTCAAATTCCCCAAGCCAATTCCCCAGCGCGCTCCGCACCCAGCCACACGCATCAACCTCTGCAACCACATCGTTGGCAAAGAATGCCTGCTCGCGTGGCTCGACATCAGCTGCGCGTGTCCGGTGTGCAACCGCATTCTGTTCGACGCCACCGACGAGGAGATTACGGAGCGCGACGTCGCGTTTGTGTACAAGAAGTTGAGGTGGCTGTGGAGGAAGTGGGAGATTTTCGCGGCGATTGAGAGGGTTATGTGGAGGAGGCGGGTTGAGCGGAGGAGACGCGAAGAGCGGGCTCCTGGTGTTGATCTGGTGGAGGGGGAGAGAGGGGGAGAAGGGGGGGTGTTTGAGGGGGAGTTTTGGGATGGGAGTGAGGAGGGGGAGGTTGTTGAGATGGAGGAGGGTGATGAGGATGAGGAGATGGGAGATGACAACGAGGGATACAACAACGAGAGCTACAACAACGAGGGCCACGACGAGGGCTACGAGGGGGAGAATGAAGGCGAGGGCCATGATGGTGTCGGCGGTTCAGAAGATATGGACATTTCAGAGTCTTCAGAGTGACTGGGCTCGAACTCTACACAACAGCTGCTGGAATTATCGGAATATCCAGAGTAAGCCAACTCAAAAGACTACATATCGGATGGAGAACTGCTCGGATGCTTGATCAACACGTTAGACGCATACAACGCTACAACACCCACATTTGGGTACCATGACGCCACCCCAGACATGGGCGCGGATACTGACAAGTGTCATTCCCCCCCCCCCCCCCCCCCAAAAAAAAAATCAAAACTTTTATACACACACACACACACACAAAAAAAAAGATCTCTCATCGTTTAAAGTGCCCATGTCTTGCAATGTGTTTCCAACGCTCAGCTTACGCAAACTGTGGAATCCAGGTTCCGACCAAGACCCCTTTCTTACACTGACATTAGGTCGAGATCCATCGCACCCACTCAACCTAACGCCAATCCACCTCGCTAGCATTGGTGCACCATGGAATGTACTTCAGTAATCCGGCACCCATCCACCCATCGTAGACACTACATAAAGGGGAAGGAGGGGGGGAGCTGATAGTCGTACATTCAGCTGAAATACTAGTCTATCTTTTACCTCTACATCAAATACTCGCGACTTTGTTTATTCTTTCTCTTTGTTATTCCTTTCAACCCACTTTTTTTTATCGGGTTATAAATACCCACCGAAAGAAAAGAAAAGAAAATGCTATACTCACCACGAACCGCCTTTTTGAAAAAAGACACGGAACCCTGCACTAGTAGTACAACGTCAACCTGCACATGTCCCATCTGCCACGAAACAATCGCAAGCACAAACTCAACACGCGGACTGCGCATCTGCATACGAAACACCAAGACGGCAGCTCGAATGTTCGTCTTGACCTACTACTACCAGCGCACTTACTCGACGGGCCACAAGAGCAGCAGTAACGTGCTGTTTCGGCCACGCAGCAAGCCGTCGCGCAGCAACTCGATGATGCGGATTAAGCGGTGCGGGCACGCGTTTTGCTACGACTGCCTCGAGACGTGGGTGCAGAAGCAGAATACTTGTCCCATGTGCCGGGATCGGCTGTTTAGTGAGCCAGGGCGTGAACGGTACAACAGGAGTGGTGAGAGTGAGCAAGGGGATAGGACGTTGTTGTTGACGTTGAGGGGATATCTGGATATGCGGGAGGCGAGGGAGGCGAGCGAGCCGGTTGTGCGGAGTGCGCTTGGTGGGGATGGGCATGGTTATGGAGGAGATGAGTGGGCGGATGGGTATGGGGATGTAGGTGGAATAGTGCGGGGGAGCGAGATGGTATGACGCAGGCGAAAGACATGGTGGAGGACGGCACAAGTAAACATGGAAAACAAGAAATGATGGGCAGGTGGTGGCATCTGTGGCGCACTCTCAAGTGTGCTTGTTTGGCTGCTTTTGGTACAAGTAAAGAGCCTGTAGTCTAGGTGTGGGGCCGTTCTACTATGGTAGTGTATACCATCAATGTGGATTTTCAAACAAGGGAGCGCTGATGGATTGGTGGTGGCTGTGCACCAGAACAAGAAGAGTGTGGCTTTAGCGCAAGTCTGCTTCTCGGTGGAGTAGTTGTAGTGGAGTAGGAGGATTGTGACTGTCTCGGGATATCCGAAGCCCTAACGCATGGTGTTTTGGGCTTGGCCGCATACAGCATTACTACAGTGTAGTAAATGGCCTGAATACAAATAGCGTGCAGATGTGCAAACTGTAGCAAAGAAAAAAGCTCTGGCCACGTCACAAGCAAATCCGGGGCAGAGGTTCTGGGTTCTTGCATGACAGATGCGGGAGTGTCTCGGCTTTCATGCTTGACTTTTGACATGGAGCGTTGCAAAGCGACCGGTGACCCTGTTACGTTGAACCCGTGATCATGACAAGATTGACCAACACTATACATGGGCTTTGTTGCTCTCACCGGTCGGTGACACCTGGAAGATGCCATGAGCCATGAAGGCAGGCCATGATTGTCGTCAGCACTGGCACCGGGGTTAGCGACCTACAGACAAGTAGGCAGACGTGGAGTTGCAGTGTGCATGGGCAAAACAAACGTGCAAGTGCATATGTTCAACAGAAGCAACAGAGCCAAGCACATTTTTTCTTTCCGGTCAGCACAGACGTGAGTCACACATAAGCGAAGCAAAGATGCATGGCACCCCAGATGCGGCGGCGAGCCAGTGCCAGCCAGTGCCAGCACCAGCAGCCAACGCCTTTGCACCCCACCCCACATGGCCTCTACTTACTTGTGCTGCCTGGACATGTGTCGCACGTCCGTGTATAAAGCGACGCGATGCTGTCGTTCTCGCAGCGACGCCGAGTGCGTCGATGCTTCATGCGCTGCTGTCAGAGCGACACGCGGCAACAAAGCAGGGGGAGGCGTAGGCCGTCGCACCAGTCGCAAGGGGGGGTGCAGGTCGCGGCAGCACCGCAGCTGAGCAGGGCAGGCAGCAAAAGGCATCAGGTCGTGCTGCTGTGAAAAATTTATCTTTTCGCGTTGCGCCGTTGCAAGGTGGCCAGAGGGCGGCAAATGAGGCGAGGGGGTCGAGTGGACGGGCTGGGGGTTGGGCCTTGGCTCAATCCGGGTCAGTGCGTCGTCATGGCTGGTACTCGTAGGCACCAGCAAAGCTGCCATGATGATCAGTCCAGCAACCGCAAACTGCTCTCGCCCCCACGACGCCGCCAGGCTGTGCAATATACATGCGTGCGGCGTGCTGCAGTGCTGGTAACAATGGACAGCGGGACGAGTGGTGCCGTGCAGACATGGGCGAGTGCATGATGATAAGTAGTCGATTGGCCATGATGGACAATGGGATGGCGGTGATGACGGGCAGAGGAGGTGAAGGAAGAGGCGAGTTGCATGATGCTGGCGAGCCCCCTTTTCTTCACTGGCAAAATCTTCTCGCTACCCAAAAGGTGACGCTAAGCCCCCCAATCGCTGCCCTATCCCTGCCCACTAGCGCCGCTCTAGCAGCTTGGCACGTCGCCGCCTGCGACTATAAGTACTCGGCTTCCCCCCAACTTTTTGACGAGATTTCCGCCTTGCCCGCCGTTGTCGCAACACCGCAACCTCTCAGCCCCCATCGCCGCAGATCGAACTCAATCTAGTTTCACCTGCGCGCCCTCTAATACTTGCGACCCACAAGCTTCGGTGTGCCCAATTTGCACATATCCACTCTCTCAGAGGTCCTAGGCGACTGCGATACTGCGATCGGCGCTAGCTTCATCCAGCCTGCGATAGCCTTGCGAAGTAGCCTCAGCCCCAGTCGACCAAACGACTTACCCCGCCAAAGGCTTACTGGCTACGCTTTTGGTCACTTAATCTCCACACTAACCCGGCCGTCCTCTTTGCGACAGCCTCATCTGCTACCACTACCACTACCACATCACCTACTCGACAATAGTCTTGTCGGCGTTCGCGAGGGACACATTCGCTTGTAGCTCTCCTGCCTCCGGTACCGTCTCCACCTAGCCTATAGGCAGACCCCATCTCCCCGTGCGTCGACCGACCTCGCTCTATCCAGGCGATCTCGTAGTCCGCCCGCTCTTGACCGTCGCTGCCGTCGCAAAGATCTCTATTCTGACCTGCGCAGTCTGTCAAGATACCTATATCTCTCCACTAGCGTCTATCGCTCCAAATCCAATCAATAATCTCATCATGGATCCAAACTCTCTCACCTCTCATCCGTCCACCGCCGCACAGGCTCAGACGGTAAGCTCTTGTGATGTCTCACTCATTTGCCGCGCCATTCTAACCTCGTCTCCCAGTTCGTCGCCCCTGGCTCTCTCTCCTACCCTCAAGGCGCGAACTTGGACATGACTGCACCCTCCACTGAGCACAACACTCAACAAGTCGCTGAAAACGCGAACGGTGTTGCTACCCCCGCGGCTACTCCCGATACCCAGAATGGTCAAGTGCCCTCTGGTATCGTGCCTACTCTTCAGAACATTGTCGCTACCGTCAACCTCTCCGCTCGCCTTGACCTCAAGACCATTGCTCTTCACGCCCGCAACGCCGAGTACAACCCCAAGCGTTTTGCTGCCGTCATCATGCGTATTCGTGAGCCAAAGACAACGGCTCTGGTCTTTGCGAGTGGAAAGATGGTCGTCACTGGTGCCAAGTCTGAAGATGATAGCCGTCTTGCTTCCCGCAAATATGCGCGGATCATCCAGAAGCTGGGGTTCAGTGCCAAGTTCACCGTACGTCTTGTCGCACTAACCATGTTTCAGCCCAATGCTAACTTATAACAGGACTTTAAGATCCAGAACATTGTCGGCTCTTGCGACATTCGCTTCCCCATCCGTCTGGAGGGTCTTGCCTCGCGCCATCACACTTTCTCGTCCTACGAGCCAGAACTGTTCCCTGGTCTCATCTACCGTATGATGAAGCCTAGGATCGTTCTTCTTATCTTCGTCTCGGGTAAGATCGTCCTCACCGGAGCAAAGGTCCGTGAGGAAATCTACCAGGCGTTCGAGCTCATCTACCCAGTCTTGTCGGACTTCCGCAAGTCTTGAGCAATTCTCTCCACAATCTTTTCCTCCATCAGCCTTGAATAACCACCTGGCTTCCAGGTGACATGGCTATGACTTGGGTATTCTCTTCAACCTTGTCTTTTTTTTGCGGCATTGCATGGTGTTCAAAGGTGGGCTTCTTTTCCTTCCTCTCAAACTTTCCCAAAACTCTACAACATATATCCCCAGTCACGATTAGACATCTGTACATGGGCAGTCTTCATCTCTTGGTAATCCGGTTACTGAAGGCTTTTCTTCTCTCTTCTCTTTTTTTTTTGATGGGTACGATTGCGTTGGCGGGAGGCGCGTGTGGGGACGATACCGAGATTGCTTTATTGGACAGATGATGAAACGCGAGGACGCGTTGATGAGTGCGACCGTAAAAGTTCGCACTAAGGAGGGCCCTCTTTGGTTGCCGATAGGATGCCAGGGCTCCTCGGTGATGGATCCTCAATATCCATTGTGTATGTGTATATGACTCTTGGCCTTGAGACAAGTTCGGCATTAATGTCATTACGATATGATAATATCTCATGGCCCTGCTAGGCTTGTGATGCTTCTCCTTCATCTCATGTCTTATACATTGCCTGCCCACAAGATACCCCCATCGCTTGGAAATACCCACTCGTCCAAGCTCAACATGTCGGACTTGCTGAACAGCAAGTAGAAGTACTTGAGTGTCTGCATCGTCATCCTGAACTCTTCGTCATCTCTTTCAGTGTCGCCATTAAGCGCTTGCTCAACCTTGTCTTCCATAACTTGCTCCACACCCTTCCACATCTGCCACCCAACCTCCCTCCACCTCTCTTCTCCCGTAACCCGGTACAGAGCAAACAAACTCATCACCACTTCTGGCCGCACGCTCGGCCCCTTTTTATCCCATATCTTCTCGAACCCAGGGTACTCTTGTTCGGGCCACACATTGGGGTCAAACGAGCAGTCTTCGTCACTGTTGCTCAGTTTCGACGATGAACAGGCTAGCATCGAGAAGTTCTTTGGCATCATGTTGCCGTTGAAAGAAGGAGGGGCGTGCAGGGTTGTCCATATGCAGCCTTCGGTCAGAAGACGCGCGTAGGTGAGATGGGTATCGTTGTGCGTGAGTGCTGCTGACAAGGCGAGTGTGCTGCCGAGAGTGCATGACGAAATGTCGAGGTTGTGGGTGAGGGTTATGTGATATCTTTGCGAGGTGTATGCGGGGCTGGCCATCATGACGGATTCGTTCGTGGGGGTTACGGGGCGGAAGAGGATGTGCTGGATGATGGCGTCAAGGGCGCTTGCGGACATGCTGCTGAAGGGTGATGAAGTGGGCGCGGCGGCGAGGAGACGGGGCATTAGGGCGTGTTGTGCATATGTAGGACCCGATGCGGCATTGACATCGAAGGTATTGTGCGAAGTCAGGTCGAAGGTTTGCAAGTTGATTTCGGCGGGCCAGAGACCGGGGATTTTGGTGCTGCTTTGCTGCGATTCGAGGATATCTGTGACACGCATTACAGCGTCGTAGAATCGCATGTCGCCTGTCAGCTGCGACAGTCTGACAAATGCTAGATTGTATGTCGTAAGTTCTGCGAGTGTGGCATTTCCCGATAATTCTTGTTCCACACCGTCGGCGACTTTTGTTGCACTCCAGGATGTGATAGGTAAGCGGCTTGGAGTGTCGAAGAAGGTATAGAGCATGTCGCCCAACTCGAGGACTTTTTCTAGGAGCCGACTATCGCGACACTTTTGGAGGTCGTATGCTGAGAGTAGAGCGTACAGTAGTCGCGTCGTTTGTGGTAAGCTAGTTATCTGGTCGTGTGGTTCGAAATTTATCTCTGTCATGGCCGCGACGGCTTCTTTGAACTCCTCAGTCAATCCCATAATCCAAAAGTTCTCGAGACTTTCTATGAGCATAGTGGTCTGGTCTGTCATCATCGACTGTGAACTCTCAACTATTGCTGCACCTGTTGCTGCACCTGTTGCTGCATCCCTTTCTGCACTCCAGTATTTTTGGAATGTTGCTTTGACTGCGGCATGACGACGAGAGCGCACAACTGTCTCTCGATACGAGGATGCATCGGTGATGAATTTATGCTGGATTCTTGATGAATGGCCACTTGCTGGCCATGGTAGCTGTGCTAGGGCATTTACAGCATAGTGTTGGGTAGTAGTCCTGTAGAAGCTATGCTTTGATGAGGTTGATACAGAAGGGTTTGAAAGGTGGGTAGAACAGGAGTGTTCATATGGTTGAGAAGAAAGAAACCAGAAAGAATGGTTGGACTTGTAGAAAAGAAGAATGGTGAGGGAGACCAATAGGAGAAGACCTGACCACCGTGTACCGGTTCGTGACCTGGCTGGCGATAGGCCGAAAGGGAGGGAGCCTTTGCGATTATGCATGATGATTGAGAGTTTTCAAGGAACGATGAAGAGAATCCTGAGGGAAACGCGAGGAAATAAAACCATCAAGGTGGTGGTGCGGCCGGAACAATTCATGTTTCAATGATACAGTTGCTATTTGTGAGCAGTTATGGAAACCATTCGCATCGTTGCGTGTGTCAGTGGTGCCCCTGGTTGAAGTTCAAGTAGAGTTCAAAACTCTTTGGTTTCGAAACATGTCTAGCAACATATTTTTTGCTGTGTGAGCCCTTAGTAATTCCATGACTATTCGGACGGAAGTGTGTAGAGCCTGGAGATATGATGCCGGGATGATGGAACGTGATGGTGCCTAGGGAGGGGTGGGTAGGTGCGCGGAGCGTGCAGTTGAAAACAAGAGAAGTGTGCGAAGAGCCCTGGAAGTATTTTGCCCTTATATACGAGGCTCCTGGAGGAATTTTGCATTCTTGTACCTTGGACGGTGGGATTGTGGGAAACGAGGGAACTGTTGGGTCGTGCGGGTCTGCATGCAGCCGTGTGCGTCAGTAGCTTGGCGCCTTCCTCCTTTCAACAATCACAGCAAGCCATGTTGCCATGGCTTCACGCTCACGCCCTCACTCTTTACCGCGTAGTGATGTAGCCGCCACTTTTCCTGTAGCTCTAATATGTAATTTTTCTTATACCGATGCATTCCTTCCTTAGGCCCTACCAGTACTGCCGCCTTTCCCATCGCAGCCGCAGTCATGCACATCCCTCTCTTCCGCATCTGGTACTCGACCACGTACACAGCGATCCTCATCATCCTGCTCCTGTTCCTCGCCGTCACCCCTGCCGACACGATATACCAGTCGATAAAATCCAACGAGATCCAGAAGCTGTTCGTCATTGGCGGAGTCTATGTCCTTACGAGTCTGATTGTGTTGTTGATTTACTCGACGCGCATCTACACGAATAGGACCGTGCTTGCTGCGATACCAAAGAGCTATGTGCCAGTCGAGGAGGGAGAAGTGGGCAAGGGGGTGAGGAGGATGATAGTCAAGCATTTCAAGAGAAGTGCCGTTGTTGCATGGGACAGCAGGCCGAGGGACCTCAGGGGTGAGGTCGAGGATGAAGATGAAGAGAAAGGACAGCTTTCGCGCGCAGGAACGGCTGAGAGTAAGAAGGATAAAGAAAAGTCGCACAAAAAGAAAGGTCATCACCACCATGCGCCTGATGCGACCATCATACCCGTCTCTCCAAAGTCGCCGCCTTGGGGACATATTTCCCATCCTGGTTGGGCTTCTCCCTCTTCGCCGGACCTGCCTAACCTGCAGTATTGGAGCGTTATCTGCGAGCTCCCCAATCTCATCGAAGCAAAGGCCGTTTCGCTTGCGCCGCCTGACCCTGCGCTTGAAGAAAGCGCCCAGCAATACCCGGACAATGCACCGCCTCTACCAGATGCTCGAATCGTCACCCTGCTCCAGCGCCCGCGCGCAATGGGTTTGCGCGAATACCTGTCCCGACTCGCAGAATTCGGACTGCTGAACCCACCCTCGCTCGGCCCTGCATTCCTCGCGCAATACGAGTATGCGCGCTTCTCCACAGCCAGCCTAACTGAAACACAATTCCGCGATCTCATGGCCATTTTTGCAGAAGTCCTAAACGGCATGACAGAAGTAGATCCGGACGTTATCGAGGAAGCACGCGCACTGGATGTGGAATCAGACACACGCAGTCTTGCGCCTACAGAATCCAGCATGGACTCAACCGTCTCCTCGCACTCACACATGCCCTACCGTACACCGCAACTCGACCGCAAATCCACCCTGTCATCTCTCAACAGCTTCCTGTCCACATCAAGCAGCGACGCCTCCACACCGCACTCTCCGCAAACCGTCCGCACCGCACCCTCACGCCAGCACGAGCGCGGCTCCACCATCTACGGCACACCCTCGCAGCGATCGCTCGCCGGTTCAGAATCCGAAACAGGATCCGTGATCATTCACGCCCGCTCGCGACGCAGCCCGAGTACCATTCTCCCAAATTCTAGTGAGAGCTCGTTGGGTTCCCAGGGCAGTGTTATACGTTTGAATTTGAATCCCAGTGAGGGCGAGTTGCCGTATCAGTACAATATCGACGGGGGATGAATGGATGTATGAACTTGGGACGAACGATATAAACACATTTGCACACACACATGTTGGACACGCTAGAAAAGACGTGGAGTTCGACCAGATACGCTTGGAGTTCAAGCGTACGCCAGAGAGAAAGCACGCAGTAACGATTGCGCGCCGAGGAAGACGAGAAGGAAAGAAAAAGAGGGGAACATCCAGTGCCGAGGTTGCGACGTGGAAGAAAAAAAAACAAGAAGAGGAAAAGGAAGAAGAAAGAGGAGATACCCACTGCACAAGTGCAGTCAGTAATCGGCACAAGAAGTTTGTGTCTGAGGCACGCATACGCAGTCTCTCCAAAACCCAATCACTTGCGATTCCACGTTTTGGAAGCCCCCAAAAAAGTAACACTAGATTTTCAAGGACGCAAAAGTCCATATTTATTTATTCACCATACTTTCTTGTACATAATTTTTTTTACTTTATTTATTACGGTATTCACATAACCAAAGATGTTACATATTGGTGTTCAAATATTTCATATTCAACTTTGATTTTTTGAAGAAAGTTTAGAGTTGCTAAAAAAAAACTACTTGTGGATTCGCATATACATACATACATCTGAACGAGGCATGGGAAAAAATCGTACAAGATACTCTCTCTCTCTCTCTCTCTTTCTTGGTTTAAGCCACTTTGAACGTTTTTTCTTCTTTATTTATTTTCTTACTCGGCAACCCAGACAGCAGCCATACCCATACCGGTACCAATGCACATGCTGGTGACACCGATTTGCTGCTTTGTTCGCCTGAGCTCGGTGAGCAGAGTGCTGACTTGCCTGGCGCCAGTGACACCGAGGGGGTGGCCAAAGGCAATAGCACCACCCTTGGGGTTGATCTTCTTCATGTCGAGACCAAGTTCGTTGATGCAGTAGAGGCACTGGCTGGCGAAAGCCTCGTTGATCTCGTAGATGTCGACTTCGTTCTTGTTCAGACCGGTCTTCTCAAGCACAACGGGGATAGCGGCGGCGGGACCGACACCCATCAGTAGCGGAGGTACACCGACAATGGAGGCCTGGACGAATTTGCCAATGATCTTTTGGCCGAGGCGCTCGGCTGTGCTGCGTTTCATCAGGAGCACGGCGGCGGCACCGTCAGAGATTTGAGATGCGTTACCAGCGTGGATGGAGCCGTCTTTGGAAAAGGCAGGGCGAATCTTGCTAAGAGATTCGGGGGTGATGCCTTGCCTGACGCCATCATCCTTGCTGACGGTGATGGTCTCCTCCTTGTCGGTCTTGGGGTTGGTCCACTTGACGGTCAAGGGTGCGATTTCCTCGTCAAAGAGACCCTTGTTTTGAGCCTCGACGGCCTTTTGGAACGACGACGCGGCAAAGGCGTCTTGGTCAGCTCGCGCAATGCCCTTGGCCTTTGCCATTTGCTCCGACAACACGCCCATGGGTACCTTGCAGTTTGCGGCTTCCTTGTGGTTCTCGAGGAGCTCGGAAAACTCAGTGACGGCGCCTGGTCCGTATTGTGTGCTCATGCTCTCTGCGCCTGCGCCAATACCGACTTCAATCATGCCAGACTTGATTGCGTTGGCGATGTCGACGCATGCCTGGAGACCAGAGGAACATTGCCTGTTCAAGCTCTTGACTGCGGTCGTGGTAGGGAAGCCAGCAGCAAGAGCAGCAGCGCGGAACTCTGTTGCGCCACCACCCGGGGCGAGAACAGCACCGACAGCGATGTCCTCGACGAGCTTAGGGTCAATACCCGAGCGCTCGATGATGGCCTTGTAAGCACCGTGAAGAAGATCAGCTGCTTGTGTATCTTTGAAGCCTCCCTTTCCGCCCTTGGTGAAAGCTGTGCGGAGCGCGCAGGTTACAACAACCTGTCAAACATATTGTCAGTATGCAGATTCTGAAAGAGGCGCTTGCCTCGTCACGCTGAAACCTGGTGTAAACACTCACATCGTCAGGCCTCTTCTCAAGGAGGTTCTTCCTTCCCTTGGATCCTGATGCGCCAGAGCTTGCAGAACCACCGAGGAGATGGCCTTCGACCTGCGTAAGGCGCTCTTGTACTATACAGCAGCGCCGTCAGTATACCGTGTCAAAATCATGTCTTTGTGCACCAAAACATACCTTTGTTGGGGGCTTGGTTTGCCATGTTGACGCTCGAAGACGATATGAAGACGAGAGATGTGAGTTGGGAGATGGAAGAAGGAGAAGAGGGTAAGAGAAGGAAGGTGAGTAGAGAACAGACGAGAGAGGGAGAGAAGCTGGTGTATACACCTAGTCTTCTCGCGCTCGGCTCAATGCAACTAGGTCATTTGCCTCGCATTCGCCGAGGCAAGTACTGCTTTGGGTTAGTGTATTTGCGGGGGTCGTCATGCCTTCCGGGGAAGGTAGTTTTCACATGCTTTGGGGGGGAGTCGGAGGGATGGGCGGTCAGAGCACGCTTCACATGTCAGTCAGCACAGTGTTGCTTGCCATGTGCTCGGATTTGTAACGTTCTTGGATATTTAGTGTGATGTTGCTGATGCAGATGAGATTTCTGGTTAGAAACACCACCTTTCAGCGCAGCCCCCAAGAAAAGACATATTGTCAGATTTCAAGCTAACTGCCAGGCCTAGCTATGCCTGCCATTCTCGAATCTAATTCGAGCCAAGTAAAGCGATACATGTAAGTTCGTAATATTTCGTTGCAGCCATTTGAAGCTGCTCTCACCCCGGAACGCCCTGCTCAAACACAACAATTTCTTGGCACACTAAAGAGTGCCCGACTTCATCGCTTACTATCAGCATCCTGCCACGGACTGTCCCTGACCTGTCTCTCTAGCTCATCTACAATACTACTCCTCTGTACTTCCTCGTAGCCTGGCGGTGGATCCGATGGCGGTTCAAAGTGCTCTTGCTGCGTCCGTGGGCTCGACAGCGAGCTCGATGCTGGTGGGCTTGAGGGTTCGGGCGCCGCAACGGAACTGCCGACACCACTCATACTTCCGACTGCAGAGTTGTCCATTGGCGGGCTAGGTAGCGGGTCAGGTACTCGAGCGTGCTGTCGGCTCTCTTCGTAGGCCGGTAGATCGTCGAGATGCACGTTGTTCATGTTCACACCACCAACACCTCTGGTTCCATCCTGCACATCACCACCGCTCTCCCGCGCTATCTCGATGGCTTGCCGTAACCGTTCCTTCAGTCGCTCGAATATGCTTGCGAAATCGAATGCACCGCCCTCTTTGAATTCCAGAACAAGGTCGAGCTCAGAATGCTGTGGAGGTATGCCGCCACCTTGGACAGGCTGAATGATGGCTTCCCATTTGTTTGCGCCGAACCATGGCGCTGTTACACGCGAGTCGGTTACGTTGAGAATGGGAACGGCGAAGGATTGCAATTGTGGTGTTGGGTTGACGGGCAGATAGATCATCTACGATGCAAGTTAGCTCCACAATGGGATGGGTCAGGCCATGTTTGCCTGGCAAGGGAGGATGGATGTATCGTACTCGTCGATTGGTGAGGAAAACGACGCCCGACTTGCATTGTTGCGAGTAAGACTCGCTCGGAGGGTGTCGGTGGCTGGTCTGCAATGAGAGCGTGGTTCGAGGAGGAGACTGGTACAGCGTCTGCTCGCCGGGGAGAGGGGTGTAGCCGCCATTCTCAGCGAGCATCACCCAGCTGGACTTGCGGTTAGACTTTGTCTTGCTGGTCATTTTCTCGGACCTAAAGCCCATGGTGCAGTGCTAGGGTGCGTTCTTATGCCCTGGGTGTAGGCTGCCTCAGGCTGGCGCAGGTAAAGCCGTGGGGGAAGAGGGGCAGGCAGCAGCAACACCGGGCAAGAAAGGGCAGCAGTAACAACAACGATGATGATGATGATGATGATGATGATGATGACAGAGAGAGCGGAAAGGAGGAGAGAGAAGAGAAAGGTGTACTGACTTGACAGACATGGTCGAGACTTGTTGCTGGCTGCAAACTTGTTCACGGTAAAGCGTGAATAGTTCGCCCACACCCAGCAGTGCCAATGCAAGCCCTCCTGCGTGCACTAATAGTGCCTGCGCCCGCCCGGACGTCTTTCGGGCCGACGACCGCCTCCTATCAAAAGTCGAGCTGTGGCTCCCGCGTGGATGCGAGTGATCTGTCTAGCGGCTGGTGTGGAGACGAACGGTGGGGTTGCTGAGCTCGATGGGTTGGCTGGGGCTGCTTGTCGCGGCGAGCGCGGTTGTCGCGAATGGCTGGTGTTGGCGGGTTGTGCGTTGGGGGGGTGGGTTGTGGAAGTTGGGAAAGGCTGAGTAGTAAGTATGCGCATCTAAGTACACATCATATGTAATGTACTAGATATGCATCACCGTCGGATACGGCACGTGCGACTCCCGGCGGCTATCGTCTTTCAAGGCACTGTAACTCTGCGTCTCCTGCAGCTGCTGCTGATGATCCCGTAAGACTCGCTTGCGTCACCCCGAGGGCCCGTGGCTGGGGGACTACACAGCCAATCACCCAATCAAAGCCTACAAGACCACACACCCATCGGGTGGCCAAGATCGGCATTAATGCACACTACTTGTCTCACTGACATACGTACGTAGTCGGACATACATATATGTACTCCATATGTATATGTCTATGTATACCCAGGCCCCTGTCCCTGCTATCTAAGCTTTCAACGAACATGATGTGCTCTCACCCCTGTCCAAAGCAGCAATTACAAAACCCTATCTCTATCCATCGTCCTCCCTCTCTGTCATTGTCCATCTCCTCTTGGGTCCCTGCCTATGCTCATACACGTCGTCAAGTTTCGGTGGACCCCAGAGCCCATGGCTGGGCTTAGGTGCCGCCTTTGCGCCCCAAAGACCTGTTGCACTCACCGCACTCTGTTTCCGAGTGGCGGCGTTGACCAGCGGAGTTGATTTGTCGCCCACCTCCCTTTCTTCCTTTGAGTCCAACTTGGTAAGACGGTTGGTTGAGTCAGACGCGCCGTCTGATTGTGAGATAGGCTTCACGTCTTGTTCACTATAAGACGCCCCAGCACTCATAGCGCCAGCGGGCTTCGACCGTACTTGTTGATGTGCAGAGTGAAGGCCCGTTTCTGCCTCTACAGCAGGTGTGCTCGCTCCTGACCACAAGCCTCCTGCAGGAGATGCAGCCCCACTCGTTGCACTCTGGATGAACCTCGAGTTCGACCCCGAGCTCATGGTCCGACGCATGCTGCTCATGGAGCTGTTCCGGGTCCTGTAGGGCTCACCAATTGAAAACGGTGTCTCGGAAGGAGTACTGGCAGTCGAGGATCCCGTAAATCGTCGACGATGGTCTAGCAATGGACTTGGCAACACAACTGGTGACTGTGCTTGTACTTGCGCCTGCGCCGAAGGTGGTTTGGAAGGATCAACGCCGGGCCGCAGATGGTCGATCGAAGCTGAGAGCTTCACCTCGTAAGTATCCGGCATACCGGGGTCCGCGACTGAGAGTCGCCGCTCGTGCAAAGTTGATGGCGCTGGTGTTTCCCTGGGCTCGTCCCTCCGGACGGCCATTGAGAGAGAAGCGAGGCCAATGTCCATGAGTACAGGCTGGTTAGTCATGGCTCCCAGGAGAGCGTTGCAACCGGCTCCATGAGTTATTAGAATCAGCACAACCTCCTCCTCTTCCTCATCGGGCCCATCGCTAAAGTTTGGAAAGGGATCTGACTTGGTTTGCGACATACGTGGTGGCGTCAGACGAAGCGGCTCCCGGAACATAAAACCTGGGATCTGGTTCTTGGGAGGTGCAGTGCCATGCGTCCTATACCATTGCAGCATGCCCGCAAGACCTCTTCTGAAGCGCTTGTGCATTGTGCTCCATTCGTCACCAAACTGTCCGCCATCGCCCCAGTTTTGAGGTTCGCGCATACTGTCCCATTGAAAGTCGACTTGCACACAAGCGTCTTGCGCGTGAGCAACGTATCCGCGCGGTATAGGATCAGCCGGAGAAACCGAGTAAGACGGGTTTGGGGGCTGGTAGATACGACTTGATGTACTAGTAGGACCTGGTGTGGGTGTAGGTGTAGGTGCCACAAGCGCTGAGACGGCTTCTCTTGGAACGGTGCCTGGTAGAGCCAACGGACCAGTGTAGCTGCTTGACCGTTCGCGCAAGGGCAGAGCCTGTGCCAAGCTGCCCATTCTTGCACCCTGTGTGGTACTGGCCGCAGCCTTGTTCCCTGTCCAGCCGCCTGGAAAATGACCCCTACTGCTGTTTGGATTGGGTTGTTCTTGAATGTAATCGCCTCGCCGCAGCAGATCCGCCTTTGCACCAGCTACCATCATGGTCGAGTTGGGAGGCGCTGTGATGTCTGCGTAATACTCGGGAGACAGCCACTCGCCCAAGAAGGCATCGATACGTAGCAGAATTCTCTCCGGCCCGGTATGGGGTTGAGGTCGGATCTCGAGGTTGGGGTCGGCGAGCGGTTCAAAGGTTCGAGGTTGCGATGATGTCGGTTTGGTACGTGGTGCTTTCGACGAGGAGCTCCCCAATGTGCTGTTCTTTTCCTTGGACGGTGTCGGTATGCTGATTTCTGGTATGGTTGACGCCTGCACTTGCGAGATTCCCGCTGCCACTGCAGTACTTGTTTGAACGCATCTTAGAAACGGGCTCGAATGGATGATAATCTTTCGCTTCTTCTTCTTCGGTCGTTGGGCGCCGCTTCCCTGTGCCTGCCCATCTTGCGAGATGGTCAGCTTGGCCAAGCCGAGCTGCGAGGGATCGTGATTAGGAGAAGTCTTCGCTGCTTCTGCCTGCTGGTTGTCTCTCTCAATGAGCAATGCAGCTATGCGCTGGCCAAGTGCCTTTGCTTGCGACCAGCCGCCGTATGTAAGTGGGGGATCGTAGGGTGCAGGCGAGGTGAGATGCCATGACTTGTCAGCAGCATCCAGCCGGGCGCCGTGCCTGTGAAGGATGTTAGCGACAGGCTCGGAATGTGGAGCCGTGAATACGGTTGAGGCGGTACCTGGCGACAATTACTACTGCGGGACCTTTGCCATTTGCCATGACGCGCTAAGAAAAGCCTCGCGTCTTGCGTGCAGCTATCGGAAGCTGTCGGAATTGGATTGTTTAAGAGAAAAAAACCACTCGAGGCACCACGCAAGGAGAAACAAAAACTCCGAGACAAGGCAGACAACTGGAAGAGTTAGCACAGCAGTAGCGTAGCGGCAATAACGGCGGTTCTTGAAGTGATGATGTTGCGGCCCAGGGTCCAGCAGTTGGTCGGGTTGACAAGCGGCGGAGGTGGGCGGGCGGGCGGGGCCTAGAATGAGCTTTTGGGCACATGACTGCACCAGCCTCTCGCCTAGTCCGATGCCTTCATCAAGCTGGAAGAAAGCCATACCGTACTGTGTATTCATACACTGGTGGATTTTTGACTGGAGAAGGGTCGACCCTATGGGTTTTGACTGTACTTGGAAGGATCGATCCGATTTTGATTCGGCGGGGNCGAGCCACTAGACTACCTACTATACACGGATATGACATACTTGCTGCCCTTGCCCTTGCCCTTAACAGATTTGTCACCCTTGTCCTTACCGGATTTGTCACCTTTGCCTTTGTCATCCTCAAACTTCTTTGCCTTTTGCTATCCTCACCCTTGTCTTTGCCGGAGCCCGACTTGGCCTTATCTATCCTGGTCCTCGCCCTTGCCGTCGTCCTCAATTTTTTCTTGCCCATAGCCATCTCCAGCAGTTCAATGATATACTGTAACCGAGGAATCATCAATTCGACAGTCTCGGCATAATGCTATGTTACAAACATGCACCACGAGTCATAAAATCGTCGTGCAGCATCTGTATCAGCAGTATCTCCATATAGCTGCCCCAGCCGGGCTGGTGATTCCGGTACCATATCATTGCCAAGCTGGTTTCTCAACGCCTTGCCCTGAGCAATGTTGTCATCGCGGAGGATTCTAAGGGCATCGACTGTGGCTTGAAGGAGCGCGGGCTTGCTTGGCTTGCATCTTTTATTTATCCTAGTTCCCAGTCACAACTGCTCCGTCAACCTTCTCATCAACCTTCGTTCTTGCTTCTTCTTCTTCTTCGTTATCTTTGGCGCAGCGCTTCTTCTCACCCTTTTTCTTCTCCCAATTTCTCTTGCGTGCAAGAGCCAGATCGTCATTTCTTTACGCTTTTTGTAGATTCCACATGGGAATGTTGGGTCCCATTACTCTTATCAGGAAAAGCAGGTAGAGAAGGGAACAGTATTCCACAGGCTTCAACAATGATTCAAACTGAGATTGGAAGGAGCAGAAACGCAGAGCAACAACTCTATAGTCATATGCGTCAGCCAAGCGAAAAGCACAAAGTTATCATTATCAGGCTGCAAGGGAAGGACTGCTCCATTGAAATCCGTATCATACAGGCGCATTGTCAGAAGAAGCGCATGAATACGTAGCTGATGCGACCTATCGTCAGATGTCATGACGAGCCTCCGGTAGTTCCTGGTCTACAAGGCGCCTTTCCAGCTAAAGTTTCGGGCGCAACGCTCGTAGGCGAGGTCATGATACGAAGGCAAGCGAGAAGATATGGGAAGACAAGCAGAGTTTCTAGGCACATGACTTCTGGGAGCACAACTTCTCCAATGAGCAGTTTGACGAACTCGTCAAGTTCATGCTATGCAAATACAATCCAAGGGGATCTTATAATGTGTAACAAAGTATTCAAGAATAATAGTTAGAAGAACCTTATGTACTACTGCTGTCGCTTTACCTTTACTCCAAGTACTCCCCATTCGTCTCCTTATGAATAACATCAAACAAAGGCTTAGCACTAAACCAACCGGCCCGTGGAGTCCCAACCGTCTTGTATGTGTAGACTGCGTCTTCGTCGTTAATCTTGATCGTCTGGCCTCCTCGGCCCGCTGCCGCCGCATCGGCCATGAGCTGCGCCTGGCAGCACTTTTCCATACTCACGAACCAGAAGACGGCCTCCTCGATTGTCTGTCCCACAGTCAATAAGCCATGGTTCTGCAGCAGGGCAGCCTTTTTGCCGCCTAGGCACTTTGCAATGTTTTTGCCCTCCTCGGCTGCAAGCACGACTCCGTTGAACGACTCGTAAAGCACGTGGTCGTCGTGGAAGGCGCACGAGTCCTGCGTTATGGTATCGAGCTTGCGGCCGAGAGCGCAAAAGGCACGGCCGTAGATGGAATGCGAATGTGCTGCGGCCACGACGTCTGGGCGCGCCGTGTGCACGGCGTGGTGGATCATATATGCCGCTGTATTCAGGAGACGGCACTCTCCTCCGTCAATGACTTTGCCGTTTGCATCGACAAGAATGAGATCTGATGCCTTCATCATGCTGAAAGCCACTCCGAATGGATTAACCCAGAAGGTCGTAGGGTCTACGGGGTCCTTGGTCGCATTAGCAACAACCCATGTGTATTATTTGTTAAAGGTTCAGGAACCAACCCTCAAAGTGATGTGGCCAGCCACACCCTCGTCAAAGCCATATTTGCCAAAGATGCGGAATGCAGCAGCGAGGCGGCCCTTTAGGTATGCGCGCTCCTTGAGCGGATCGTCGAACTTGGGTGGTCCTGGGAAATTGAGCTGCATTCCCTTTGCCTGTTTCTCGCTCAGGCCTGGCTCCAGGGGCACAGCCGTGCTGGGTTTTGCTTCTTCAGGCTCAGTGGCGGACGGTGGAGACATGGTGCGTGTGGACGCAGAAAACTATGTAGTGAAGAGATGGTCGTGAAGGGAAAGTGAAGATGCAGAGACAGCGACAAAGCACAATGGAGTTGCAGGTAGTAAGAAAGTAGAAATAAGACAATCGTGTAGTAGTAATGGTGAGCCAACGTCGTGCCAGTAAATGCGAGCAAAGTAACCTCGGAACTACATAAACACGCTCTTCCGAAGACACGGAAAGGGCCTTATCGGAAGGCTTCCGATTTCCTATCTGCTTGCGAGTCTAGGGCGCCTAAGCAATCCGAAAGCCGTGGTTGGTCGCGTCGGCTGGGAATGCGGGGCATCCGTCTAATCTACTACGCAGTAGACGCGGGGTAATGAGCCTCCCTCTCGACCTGGCTGACGGCAATGGTCAGCCACGCCCCTCTGTCTGACTTTTCTTACGCCATCATCACAGCGACACTTCTCTCGTTGCAAGCCAGACTGGAAATACTGGGGAGCCGACACCCGAGGCCCGTGAACTGCCCTAGAGACCCAACAACACACAGTCTCTCTCCCCGGTACTCTACACTCTGGCTTCGAGGGTGACGGCATCCAAGTATCAAGGCCCTCCATGCTGTTAAATCCTGACATGTGTGTAGTAGACATGGGGGAACCCATGCTACATTGTGCAAACACAAGCCAGCCTTCCCCGCGTTCGCCCTGTAGACAGGCATGGCGTGTGCAGTAGGGAAAAAGAAACCAACTCCAAGGTACCGTACCAAAGTCTGCATGCCTCCGTGCACGTGACGTGTCACCGGCAAACGACGAACACGTAGCAATCAATCTCAACACCCATTCGTCTTGTCGACAGAGTATCCCAGCCCTATCAGAAGCTTGGGGAATAGGTCGGTCGTGGCATAGGAGATGGTGGAGTGCAGTGGTAGAGAATAGTAGGTGTAGGGGTCAGTTTGCAACATGTCCGGTAGCGAATCCTCAAGATTACCAGGTAACATGTGCGTCCTTCTGTACACCTACATAAGTTACAACACAGTAGAACAAATTATGGATAGGCTAATGCGAGGCAATTAGATCATGGAAACGTCATTCCCATTCATGCCAGTGTCAACTGTCACTTTCACAATTGCATGTGCGCTTCCCTCGGATGTACTCTGATTGTTTCTGTCGTGCGTCAGTAAATCATTATCAGCATACTAAATTGTCATGGACCAATGCAAGATGCCATCATTCATGGACCTCAACTTCAGGGCTAGACTGGCTAGCTACCCAAGCAGGCCGGCTCTGATTCAAACACAACCGGAGCAGTGCGGCTAGCCAGGTGCTCCACCTGGGTTCAAGAGAATGGAATGCAGGTGCATGTGCGTACTGCAAGGACGAAGACGGAGGAGCCGATAAAGCGGGGGATGATGCTTATTGATGGCTGCAGGCAGACTGCTACCGAAGCATCGACAGCCCATGTGCATGTGCAAGATCATCACAGGCATGCCACGACACGCCCCGCTTTACTATCTCCATAGATACTGCACGGTCAGTACCCTTGCACTTGGTGTCTTGAGAGCTGGACAGGACCGAGCAGCCTCACCCTAGTCCATGTATATTGGTGCGGCTTGCCGCTCGGAAGAAACAACCGACTGAGCGGCACTTGGCGGATTCTACCTTTATTAGCGTATGTTAAACAGGGGAAAGTGTGTTGAAGGGATGCAGAGATGCACATTTGGTGCCCCTCCGGCACCTCAGCCTTGCACATCTGGTCTATTACAGCCACGCGTCTTTTTTTCCTAGTGGCCTGACGGGATATGGCCGCAAAATGACGGGTTGAACTGCAAACCGTGCCGCGTCATGTCATTGCGCCCAATAAGCAACGGTTTGCCTGCTGAAGGGGACAGGCGATATTTTGCTCAACAGTAAGTGGGAGGCGACGTGCCAAAGCTATGGGAGCACATGTCAGCCAAAGACCTTTGTGACTACGGCACTGAGTTTGTCTGCTGTCATGCTTTGCCCCGGCGCCTGACCTTGAAAGCAATACGCAAGTTGAACAGTGAACAGTGAACATCAGTACTGTATATTGATGCCGACAAGGGAAAAGCAGAACATGACTGAGGTTTCAGATGATGCTGGGGCAAGCGGAGGATGGCAATAGTTCGCGATGGCCGTGTGCTCTGGAGGCTGGCGGGTTTGCCGAGCAGCTCGATAAACCATGTAGTGCTCGCGGGATGACGATCTGAAAACGGACAGTGGCGTTGATGGGGCGCCAGATGAGGAATACTGCAGGATAGGCTGTTCCCAAAGAGTCAAGGTGTTATGCGCGATCATTTAGAGAAAGCGTGAGAAATGCAGTCGAGTGGAGGCGGAGACAAGAGTGGAGGCTTGGGATCTGCAGCCAATGAAGCGGACAGAGTGCATGACGTACCATGGAAGGCCGACAAAAGCAACCTCAGCTCTCCTCCCTCCTGCTGCTGCAACACCATGGCGAGCTGACTGTCGCGTATCCCGTACATATACGGCCATTTACGCCCGCCCACGCCCCCCAGTTAGGAAAACGTCCCGTCCGCTGTCTCCGACATGGCTTCATTGCAAAGAAAGCAACCCTAGGGCGAGGGCATGGTGGATGGAGGGTCGATAAGCGAGGCGTCCGCGGACTGGGAGGGCGGGTATTGCTTGAGAGATCAGCTGTTGGGCTTGACCCTTTCTCGCCTTAGCCGACTGTCCATCGATGATGCTGGCTGCTGATCACGCTCGTGGCTGGCTCATGTCGGCGACAAAACGATGAAGCGACGGTCAGGGCCATCCTAGTCGTCCCAGCGGGAGGTCCGTTCCTCGACCCGCAGATCCGCTTGGGGTTACCGATCACAACCTGATCTACGCTAGTGCCAGAGCGCTGCAATTCACCATCCACCAACGACAGCATAGAGAACCGGCGTCGTTTTTTTCCAAATCAGATGCACACCACGCCTCCCACCCGTTCTTGGACTACGGCCATGTACTCTTAGGTGTAGAGTATGCTGCATCTCCGCCTTTGCCACTAGTGCACACCCACGTACAATGAGCATTTTTTTTACACCTCGAGAGACTAGCAGGTCTCCAAACACTATCTACACCCTTTCTATCGGACCTGGTGTTTCATGCCATTGGTTTTTTGATTACATTGGCAACAAAGAGTCCATCCCGAAGCCACCAAGTCAGTGCTTTTGCAGACAGCTGTGTCCTAACAATAGTCTCGTGTATCTATCCAATATGAACCGTCAAGGGTCATACTTACGCCATTTGTCACACTTGATGGTATCACGACAATTATCGGGCTCCACATATGTAACCCTGCCTATCACCTTGCGTGCTTGGTTGCTTTGCCGGGCTGAGCCTGCAACGGAACATGCGCCGCACCCCACACTTAGACGATAGGTGGGTTTGGCATAGAGACCATCTGTACGCACCAATGCTGTATATCACGCACAGAAGGAATGCTAAGCTCATTATTTCAACCCTGATGTAGGGATCGCCGGCCTGAATTATCAGCTCAAGCCACAATGGGTACCCTGGACATACCTTCGTCCTGGGACTAGCTGAACTAGCTGCCATGTGAACCAGGAAGAATGCATTGGGAGTGCTCCGGTAGTTGCGGTCTGGGATTACAGCCCGATGGTCAATGACATGCAGGCATACATGCCCCGCCTGCTAGCTGTAGAGCATCATGTTTTAAAGAGACTGCCCGCGCCCCGGACACTGAGCTTTCTGTGTTCCAATCCACATGCTGCATCTATTCAGTGAGTACTTCTTCGTGTGAGCCCCTCAACAATTGATTCTGATAGCCTTCTGCAAGAAAAGCAGAAAAAGAAGCGCTCCCAACAGTCACCCGACAACACTCAGCATAGAGATAGAAATAGTCCATCTAGCTCCTCTATTGACTCCGGCACTACTTCGCCCTTGCAAATTCCTACTCGACTCTCACCATCCCGATCACAATCAGCAAAGGCATTACCATCTCCTCCCGAGATTAGCTATTCTACCTCTACTGCACCAGCACTGCAGTCACAACCCTCATCACAGTCTCTAAGAAATCCAGCAATAGGGCCACAACGTCCCTTGCCACCTCAAGAGCCAACAGTAATTGCTCCGTCATTGACTGTTGATACTAGCCCTGCACCAACCCCAGCTGCAGGCTCTAAATCTATTCCACAACCATCTCAGCAACCTCTTTCGTCAGAAAGTCCGCAACCTGCTCTACCACGCCGGTTTTCGGTGAGCTCTAATCTTTCAACACAATCCTCAATCACATATAGCACACCGCCACCTTTTCGGCCTAGCATCATGTCTCTCAGACTCTCGTCTTCTTCCGGAAAGTTGAACGGAACCAACGGAGCAAGTGTGCTCTCCCCAACAGAGTCGCCTGGGGCGCTCTTCCGCACCAAAGGACGTTTGTCGTCCTTTGCCTCTTCTCGTGCCACGAGCGGGAACTTTGGCTCAGTCAAATCCCCCAAGAAGCTTCTCGGCAGTACTGGCAATTACCAAAACTTGTTTGTCCAAGAGTCTGCGGCAGCTTTGACTGACCGTAGCAAGAAGGCGCTGGGCGTTGCGCATGAGAACATCCGCGATGTTACTTATGTCTCTTTTCTTGAGTGGATCAGATCCGAGCGACTGACCACACTCCCTCACAAGGGTAGCCGATGGGACAGAGTCCTGATTCGCGCCCTTTATTTTGCAGAGCAACTTCACAAGTTTGAGCAGGCTATACAGCCGTTTGCTCACAACAGTGCCTCTGCTGCCATTGTCGGTTATGGCCATGCACAACTGCTTCTTGAGCTCAGCCACCACAACTCTGAAGCTCTGGACAAGGCATTCTCAATCTTCTACAAGTTTGCCATGTCCTTCCACTCGGTCTTGCACCGTTCCGAGTTGTTGGCTGCGAGCCCTGAGATTCGCGAGCAGATCTGCCTGCTCTACGCAGATCTCATCAGCCTGGTAGTCGACGTTGGCATTCAGTTTTACTACGCCGCCAAGGGTATGTGGTTTTATTTATAACCCGTCCTGAGAATCTCTGCTAACTAGCCTAGGTATGTCATCCAACTCTACCAGCCTAGACATTTTTGAGCAGTTTGGCGATACAATCGAATCATTCCGCACTCGTCAAAACACTGTGATTGAACTCATCTGGCAATCCCAAATCGAAAACGAGGTTTTCGAAGAAGGAGAGTCCATTGATGTTCAGCATCTGAGCCGATGGCTGGCTTCTCAGGATCGAGTGATTGCAGCAATCACCAGAGATCATGAGACATATGTAGACAACCAAGCAGTAAGTCCAAGGACACATTACGATATAGAACAAACACTTACTTGATGCATTTCAGGAGTTTACTTGCCTGTGGTTCAACAAGCACTTGACGAGGTTTTTCCACAGCCAAAACCGCATCTTCTTGGTTACCGGCCAATCGGGTGCTGGTAAAACCACCCTTGCTGGATCCATCGTTGAGCGTCTGCAGCGGCCTATGAACCGCCAGCAGTACGATACATTGTTCTGCTCCCTCTCTCCGGACATTCCAACTGCTGCGACCTCGCTTGCAGTAGTGAAGTCTCTGCTCTTCCAATTGCTCAATCTGCGCATTGGCAACATGAACATGTACTGGGCGCTTTTCCGGGCCTATAACCAGTGCCGAAACTGTGAAGATGTTAAGACTTACGAAGAGCACCTTTGGCAAGCATTGACAGAGGCTCTTCAGCACCCTGCTGCTGGCTCCAATGAGCTTGTGATTGTAGTCGACGGTCTGGATGAGATCGCTGACTCCAAGAGCGCCTCCGTCCAAGCAATGGGCGGTTTCAGCTCGACTGGTCTTCTGGAGAAGCTGGCCAAGGTTACCAAGCAGGGCCGCGGCGTAAGACTCATCACGATGTCTTCCTCTGTGAAACTCTCATCTCCATCCATGGGCATTCAACATGAAATCACACGCGACGATGTTCGGGATGACTTGCACGCTGTTGCCCTACGGTCGTTGATTCACAACCATCAGTTCCATGGCCAGCGTGCTCTCGAGCAAGAACAACTATTGGATCGGGTTATCCAAATAGCCAACGGGTCATTCTTGCAGCTCTCGTTGATCTGTGAGCTACTCAACGGCCAGAAGTCCCCTGATGCTATGAGTAAAGTAATCAGCGGTTTGGAGACTTCCAAGCCTACAGTCTCTGACCTGATTGTGACTCTCTTCAAACAGCTGAACCCCAGCAACGATGCAAAGACCATGCTGTCATGGGTTCTGGCTGCTGAGCGGCCCCTCACCATCGATGAGATTCGCACTCTGTTCTCTGTTGATGTCCAGCGCGGAACTATCTCTGACAAGGGAGTCAACGTAAACGAGATGTTCAGATCTCTGGAGCCGCTGTTCACTCTGCACCAGCGTATTGTGCGATTCAGGCACCCTGTGATTCACTCTGCTCTTCATGATCTGGCCGAAACTGGCAAGGTTTCTATTCCATTAGAGCATAGCGAGACGGATTTGCTTCTTAGAGTCCTGGCTTATACCAAGTCTGTCCTTAAGGACAGCAGGAGCGAGCCGACTTTCGACATTTCCGATCCATCTACACCAGACAACCTGTTCAAGCAATACCGCTTCCTTGAGTACGCAGTCAGGTATTGGGTCTTGCATTTGCAACAGTCCCCTCTGGCCCCCAAATCGACTGGGGAGTTCAAGCCGACTGCTGAACTCAAGAAGGTCTTTCCGGAAACGACGATGCTCGCCATTCTGGAATCGAACTGCTGGAATTTGCAACTCCCGATTCCTCAGGTACTTGAGCTCCAAAGGACTGTTGGTAACGTGCGTGAAACGCTCTTCACAAAGAACCATCCCGCCGTTCTCCAAACTTACCTAGCGATTGCAACAAGCTACATGATGGTTCACAACATCACTCAGATTGCGAAGTACTTGTACATCTGCACCATTATCAGCAAAGAGACTTTGTCGCCCATTCATCCATTGACTGTCGAATGTGCCACTCAATTTTTGAGTATCACAGAGACGCAAACCTCCTCGACAAGGACCGAGATCATGACGAACCGCGAGCAGATTTTGAAGGTTCTCATCACATCTTATGAGACTCAATATGGTAGCTCTTCTGAGCTTGTCATCAAGACTCAACAACGTCTTCAAAAGCTGTATGACTCAATTAACGAGAAGGAAAACTCGCTGAAGATTTATCGATTGATTCAGCTCCATGGTTCTGGACCAAATCAGTCCACTGATGATCACTGGGAGAATGGAGGCGTTCGAATCAAGCATATCCGGCGTCATGATGATGTTGATCTTCATGGCTCCATCCTCGGCAGTGACGAGATCGAGGAGGAGACTGCTATGGTCATGACTATCTCTTCAATCGAGTCAATGCTCAGCGTAATCCAGCAGCACCTTCACCGCAAGGAGTTTCAACAGGCGGAGAGAATGTACGTCGAGCTATGGATGGAAGTTTCCTCCAAGTGTCGCACTGTCATGGGCATTGAGTGGCACGAAAAGAACATTGACATTGCCACCTCTTACTCCCAGTTTTTGAAGAACCAAAAACGAAGCAGCGAGTCTACGGCAGTACTTTCATCAGTCTGGCAGCAATATGAAGCTCATCAGCTCTCTTTCTCGGAGAACATTGTCTCACGACTCACGCATGTGGCCAAGGAGATGAGAAGTATGAACGCACATGCTCAAGCACTCTCGATTTTCAAGTTTGCAAGCTCCTACTACCAGAGTGTGAACCGCCAGGAGTCTCAAGCCTCCCTTGAGGTCCGCCAGCAGCTTTCTCAGACCTCTAGCGAACTCGTCCAGCATAGCCTATCAAACTCTAGTTCTGTGACTGAAACTACGACGACAATTTCTGAATCCGTGTTCCAGGACGTGTTCTTTACCACCATCTCGAGCTCGAAGACGCTTGATTCTAGCACAATTGCTCTTTCCAAGAAGCTCACAGTTCAGTATATGGCAAAGAACGATTACACCGCAGCTATCAACGTCATTCACGCTACTTTGAAGCGTACCTGGTCTTCCTTCTTGGCAAGCTCCATTCATGACGTTACCATGGCTACATCGTTCCTCCAGGAATCGGTTGAATTGGTCGAGCGTCTTGCAGAGTGCTATCTGCAGAGGCGACAGCTGGACAAGGTTGATGACGTCTACAACCGCTTTTTCCGCGCTGTCCTCGTCACTGAAAAGATTGACCAAGCCATCTTTGACAAGGCGAAGAACCTCCTGATCAACTTCTACGACAAGCACGGCTATGTGGACAAGGCTATCAGCATTTACCAAGAGATCCTGGTTGTATACCGTGCACGACTTGGTCAAACGCACGAGAAAACCATTGAGACTCTCTACATTCTAGCTCAGAGATGTCGCGCTCACCCCAGGAACCATGGATACTGGCTTGACTACTACCTGCAGATCCTGGTTGCGCTGAACAAGGAGTCTGACATCTGCCACAAGAATGCATTGGATGCTTTGCAGGTGGTCACCGTGACGTACTGGGAAGATCGTCGCTATGCGGAAGCTGTGACCTTCTACAAAGTGCTCTGGAACACTTTTGTTCGACAGCACAAGGAGCACAAGGTCTTCACAGAGACCAAGTATGTTGAGACGCTGTACGAGCGATATTACCAGTGTCTTGAGGAGACAAAGGCCACTTGGTCTGATCTGTACAAGGTCACCAAGGAGTACCGCGAGACTTCTACTGCGGTCTTTGGCGCTGAATCTACAATCGCCGTCAATGCAACCCTCTCGCTCGCTCAAGTTGCCCAGAGCAGCGAACAGCACATGTCTGAGGCGATTTCTCTCTACGAGGCAGTTTCGCAGTCTGGCAAGCAAGTCACCACCAAGACTACTGTTACGGAGATCAACAACACACTGTCGTCGCTCTACCTGAAGCAGATGCACTCGACGTCATCCACCAACCTTAAGGCTGAGACTGTCTCACGCGCCTTGACGATGAGCGAATCGCACTTCCAGGAGGCTACCCAGAAATACGGTTACAGCCACGAGTCTTCGCTTACCAGCTTGAAGGAGCTTGCAACTCTCTACTCGCGTCAGCAAAAGACGGATGTTGCAGTCAAGCAGATTTCAAAGGCTGTCTCTGAGATCGTCACCAAGGAGACCTCCTCGCAGAAGCAAATGGAGTCTGCTGCTTCCATCGCTTCTACCATGCAGGCCATTGGCCAGAGCAGCACCGCGTATGCTATGGTTCAAGAAATGCATCGCCAGATCTGTGCCAAAGACTCCAGGAATGCAGCCAAGTGGTCGTTTGATCTGACCAAGACTAGTCGCACTTCTCTTGCTTTCCTTGCATCGCTGCAATACCATCTCAGGAAGGATCTCAGCATCACGTTCTCGGAGATCTACGCTGATCTTACCATGGAGTACATTTACTGGGTTCAGTTCCACCAGACGCTCCAGAACAACGAGAGTCTGACAAACATTCTTCTTGCTGCTGCCCCACTCCGATACTATCTCCGCCGCAACGACAACAAGGACATGATCTCAGTCGTCGAAGACCAGGCTGTTGACCTCTTTGTCAAGCGTGATGCTCAGGACTTGAAGGACTTCAGCAAGGAGTCCCCTCGCATCTTCATCATTGGTATTCTTGACTACCTTGGTAGCGGCCGCAACAAGGACTTCATTCGCTCCGTCATTCTCTCTAGCAACCGAAGCGTCAGCCAGCTTACCAAGGAGAGAAAGTTCCGCGAGGCATACGACATTGCCACTCTCGGCTTCCTCTTTGCCAACAAGCACGATGGTTACAACGGTCCACGGGCTATTGGCATGGGCTTCAAGCTTGCTTCTCTCCTTGTCGGCCGTGACGGCAACGAGAAGTGTCCCGACGCTGCTCTGCGCAAGAAGATGCTCGCCCTGTCCAACCGCATCGTCAAGCAAATCCTGGAAATCTGCAAGAATCTCAAGATCAACTTTGCTCATATTCAGCTGTACGAACTGAGCCAGCTATCTGCACTCCTCGGCGAACAAGAAGACTACGAGACCCTCGAATGGCTCCTCACCACCCTCTGGCAGACCCGCGACGCCCAACGCTCCTGGCCCGCCGAAGTCCTGCTCAACCTTGGTCGCCGCCTCATCTGCGCCCGCTACCTGGGCGGCCACCCCGTCAAAGCCATCCGTCTCGCCGAAGACATTGCATACAACATGCGCCGTGCCCACGGTCCCCGCGCCCCCGTCACAATCGAAACCTACGAGCTCCTCGCCCAACTCTACACCTCCACCGGCCAGCACTACCAAGCCCAAGCCGCTAAAGGCGAAAAGACGGCAAGCATGGCACAGGACTGCTTCAAGAAAGCCATCCTCGTCCACGAAGACCTTCTCCGTATCCTCGTCAACACCTCCTCCAACGCCTCCGCCGCCCAAGACGACGAAGACGACGACGACGACGAAATGGACACAACCGCCCAACTCCTCGCTCGCGAGGGCATCAACGTCAAAACCGCACCCAACACACCCGGCCCCGAAGCCATCGACTCAAGCACCATGGACCACTCCGCCACAGCCCTCAAGCACCTGCACCTCCTCAAACTCGCCTACCAGCGCTACGGCGCCTGGCCAAAATCCTACGCCGAGTACGAGCGCCTCAACGCCCTGCTCTTCCGCGTCTTCGGCACAGACCCCAAGTGGAAGGGCGCTGAGGGAACAGAGAAGTGGGATGCGAAGCCGTTTGGCGCAGGCAAGGCTGAGTCCCAGGAGGGAGGCTTTAAAGGGGTTGAGGATTGGACGTTTGGAAGCGATGAGTTGGTTATGGGACAGCAACGCCAGTTGCGCGTTGGTTCGCCTATGATGGGGAATGGGGCTATGGTTCGTGTGTAAGGGAACGAGATTCATGTGTATGATGGGTGTATATGTGTGTTGTTATGAGTTTAATGGGTTTGTTCCAGATAGTGTAGCGTTCAGTTTGCCCGCTCGTTTTTTTCTTTTCTTTGTTGTTCAATAGTCTGCTTACATGGGGTAGATTGAATGCCTTGATGGTGTCTCTACTTCTCAGCCTCTCTCTCTCTCTCTCTTACAAGTTTCTTTCCTTGAGTCTAATGTTTTCTTTATATAAAAAAAGTTATGCTTTTGTAGTTCTTAATACCAATGATGTTAGTACTGCATATCAAAGTCCCATACTACACCTCTGTGACACTGTCTATGAACATTCTCCGCTAGTAAAAAGGGACAAGTAAATAATTGGCTTCATTTGCCTCTATCTCTCGTAATAAGAATAGTTATTAAGATGTTGACCTCGCAACCGTCTACTGAGCTTAGCGCTCTGTCTAAGTAAAAGGTGCTTATATCAGTCCATCTCAGAAAGCAACTATATTAAATCCATCATAAGACATGAAGCATCATTCATAAAACACCAATCCATCTTGACTCGTTAAGCGTTCGTCAACCTCATTTCTATGTTCATAATTCAACACCCCTTCCTTGATCCGTCAACATAGCTCATCTCAAGTCTCAAAGACCTCAGTCAGTTCCCCCCACTCGCCCCGTTCCCTGCACTCCCAGTACCCATCCTTGCCACCCTTGAGCCTCCAAACCTCTTCGTCACCCAATGCCGCCGCTTCAGCAGCTCCGACCTTGCTGAACCAGCGCGGCTTCCACTCTTGACCATGTTCTTCTAGAACCTTTCTTCTAGCTCTCTGGCGCTCTTCAAGACGAGCTTTCAGCGCTTCAGCTTTGTCTACATCACCATCTTCAAGGGCGCGTTGATCGGGTCGGAGTCGTGAGTCAGTGGGTGGAATGTGGCCTTCTTCAATAGCTGTGACCTGATTGAGGGCGGCGGCAAAGGTGGTGAGGCCGTAGTGTTTCTCAGCTTTATCAACCAAGCTACCTACTTTCCAGATAGTCTTGCCGGTCGGCTGTCCGTTGGATGTGAGCTGAAGGTCGGTTGTCCATTTGCCGGTTGCACCACTGGGGAGAATGGAACCAGTGTTATCGAATGCTTGAACCAAGACTTCTTCTGAGCGGCCGGCAAACATGCCGCCAGCCTTGAATGTGCAAACAGCTTTTGCGCCCGTAGTTTCCGAGACGATGGTCATTGTGCCAGAGGGTTCAAGATACTTCTCACCTGCAATGACGTTACGCAGATAGGATGTTGCCAAAGTCCACGAGTAGTGCTCACCGGAAGCATGTAAGAAGATGCGAACACGACCATCGGTGTTGATTTCAGCGCTTTTACCCCAGAACTTCTGCATTGGGGTTGGGGATTGGATAAACGTCCATTCTTGCGCTTCAGCTTGGCAGGCCATGCGTACGGGACGGTGAACGACTTTTTCTGCAAAGAAACGGAAGCCCTTGTCTTCGCGAACGAGTTCATACGTTTCACCGAGCATAGGGTTGAATGGTTTGCGGATTGCGCGATCCTTGACACGGGCGTTGCTGAAGGCCGAGATTGCAAAAGCGGCGATGTAGACGAGACGCTCGCCCGTTTCTGAGGGAGCTGCTACAGCGGCATCTAGTAGCTCACTGTATTCGAGTTGTTCGGCTAGTCGTTGCAATGCCGATGTAGGCTCATTAGCAGACACTGGCATGGCAATGGTTGACAAATCTTTGCCAACATTCTTCCTGAAGAATGCAATCAGACTTGGAGGTTGGACTTTAGGCGCAGGAACAGTGGCTCGACGGTCAACTGGGTCGAGAGGTAGAGGCTTCAGGGACTCGGGCTTTGTGGGGAAAAGTGCTGGTGTCATTTCAAGCGACATTCGTGGGCGATCTCTTGTTTCCTCACTTCCGTTTTCAGAAGACGATTCTGATTCTCCGTCCGAGTCCTCGTTTGGAGCTTGTCCACGCTCGTGCTCATTGTCGCCGCTATCACGCCGAATAGTAAGCAGCTGCGACTTGCTGCCGTCGCCATCGGTAGCATCGAAGAACTCGTCAACAGATTCTACAGTTGATTCGAAGCTGTTGCGTGATGGCACAGCAGGGAGTGGTGGCGGTTGTGCTAACGCTCGACGTTGTTTGTTTTCGCTGATGAGATTGGCAAAGTCTGCGACAACAGAATCCAGGTCTTTCAGCAGAGCCATGCAGTTGCCATGCACAAGTTCTTCCATTGGGGAACTTGTACCATGGCCATTCTGGGATGGCACTGCAAGCGTGCCATTTGCTGAGATATTTGCGGGCAGGGGAGGCAGGGGAGGGACTGCTCCGGACGAGCCACTTTTGTTGGACAGCCCTGAAGGGCTCTGGGCAGCTGAACTACTTGACTTGCGCTTCCAAAAGGAAGTCTTTTGGGGCGCCTTTTGTTCCGGGAAGTAGTCGCTGGGTTCTGTTTCGGACGGTGCAGGTGATGCAGTTTCGTTTGTCTTTGTAGCAGCCAACGTAGTGCTTGTAGCGGACTTGGGTTCGGTTTGCTGGACCAATCTTCGCACCGCGTCTCTTGTACCAGAAACTCGCCCCATCAGTGCCTCAACCCTAGCCCATTCGTTCTCTTCGATCGCACTTGAGGCTTGTGGAAAGCTCTGAAATGTTCCCTCTTGTATTTGTAGGGTAGGCGAAGCCACAGCTCCCCTGTCTGCTGCTGTTCTTGATGCACGGTCGAGCGCATTTTTCCACATTTGGAAATCTTTGTCATTGAGGGCGCGTAGCTGCCAGATCTCCGCTCCTGAATCTACAGAAATTTCCCTTGTTTCCTCGTTTGCACCGATGGCGGCTAGCGACAGCGGGATGGCGCCGCGTAGAGCGGAGGAATGGTCATTGCGGTAATACGACAGTGTTGACGAGGTGAGATCCAAAGAAAAAAAGCGTCTCGCATAGCCCTGGTTCCTCTTTCTTCGCTTCTTCTGCAGTACGCCGGTGAGAAAAGACGAGCCAGATAGACTGCCTTGTTTTTGGCCGTATTGCGACTTTGGTCGGTCTCCAGCTGTTTGGGCCAAGGACTCAGATGATTCGGCGGGGTTAATAGACGGTGATGACTTGGCGAGACTAGTTGTGCTTGCTCCAGCCATTGCCTGGGCATAGTGCATGTGGTGACCCGATTTTGGGGCGGCATTGGTTGGATATGTCATGAGAACAAATGTGGCCGTCTTAGACACTGTCTTGGAGAAGGTATTGTCAAAGACAAGACCATACATGCCGCCCTCGCCGGGGGGTATGTCATAAGTGCCCATGGAGACGGTGTCGGCCTCACATTTGCCATGCCAGTGTACCTGTTTCAGACCGATTGCTGACAGCTTTTCCAGGACGACGGTTCGGTCGTTTCTCGACGTCGAGGCTCCGCGCCCGCGTGTTACGGGTGGCTCGAGGGAGGGGGTGCCTGGGCCGGCCTCTAAGGTGGCCGCGGAAGGCAAGTGGGGAGCTGAGCCCGTCGCGTTTCCGGGGTGCTTGAAGATACCGAAATTGAGAGACTTTTTGTGTGGCTGGACACTCCATGATATGGTGTGGCCTGAGGAAACATTGACCCATCTTACAAGGTAAGACTGGCAGTAATCAGCACGGGCAGCAGGGATGGGAGACGGGAGGTGGGAGGACGTACCTTGCTATGGACCTCGATGTTCTCCATTCCGGCCATGGTGGGCGGATGCTACTCTGGTACTCTGGTAGCCGGTGTATTAGGGTTGTGTTGTCCCAGGGTTTGCAAAAGCAAGCTGTACGCGGGGGGCTGGCGTCAGATATACGTTTGCTGTCAATGCTCGGCGGTCAAGCGAACGCAGGATCAGAATGGGCTGGAGATGAGGCGTCTCAGTGGGCGGGCATTTCGGACGACGGAACGAACAGGCAGGGTCGGGGGTGTTGTCGGACCTAGAGGATGGGCGACAAGAGGCAGAGTGGTGAAGGTTGAGTCGGAATGCGGGACTGCAGCGAGGCCGAGTCTGGTGTGGATGCAGCGGCTTTGTGGCTGCTTGTGCGCGTCTCGTCGCGATGCTGAGGTACAGATTTCTACACCGACCAGGTATACCTAGTAGACAGGCGTATAGCAGCAATTGTTTGGTGCGTGACAGGCGGCAATGTTCCCAAACTACGCGGATAGTAGACATACTTGACATACTTTACATGTGCCTGGTAGTAGTATGCGGCGGCTGGGAGCACGGCCAGTGAACCGGGGTCTGCATTGGTCCAGCCGCCGCATCAGCCTTATTGCGCCACTGTTCAGCCACCACAATTATTCCATGCTTTCGCCTTCGCATGACGCGCTGCCTGCTCGGCCGGCCCAAGCAATCCGCTGTCCACCTCCCGATGCATCCGGCTCGTCTGTCCTCGTGGCTTGATAAGCTGACGAACAAACTCTGTCTTTGTACGCTGGTCCCCCCTTCTCGACGCCTCTTTCATTGTCATCTCAAACATGTCTCACCCCGACTCTGCCCCAGCGCCAGGTCACGTGATATCCGACTTCCGTCTTTCTCCGACTTCGGGAACTTCATTTATGTCGTACGCCAAACTTGCAGACTACACATCCTCTCGAATCACTATAGAAACTGTCGCGTCGTCGCGTTTCACACGCTATTCCCTTTTCGACGCGGACCATTTGGATTCTTCCAACTCCGGTCTAGCATGGCCTTCCACGCCCTCGCCCGGAGCCTCTTATTAGTGCACCGCGTACCCTTGCTCCCATAATTCTTCCGTAACTATGTCAAAGTAGTGCTACCATGCACTTTATACTTCAAATGTGGGGTAATGCCATATATCCTTCAATTTCCATTCAATCTACCTCGTTAGTGCTAGTCAAGATCATCATCCCGTTCCGTCTCCCCGAATAACTGTCCCCATCGCATTTATTAACATGCCGTCCGCTGCTAATTCCAGGATGTAATCACTTCTCTCATCTTGCCATATTGCTTACGACTGTTTGCCAACATGGTTAAATCAATCGCTCTTGTCTTGTCTCTGGC